CGCGATGCTAGGATTCACTGATTTCAAAATCCACGAGCACACAATACGATTGCACCTTCTCCATGAGGTAATTCTGGAATCAGATTCATTAGGGATTGGAATCTCTCCTGTAACAAAACCAAGTTTATTCTTCACTTCCAGAGCAATTCTCATTGCCCTACTCCAAGAGGCGTAATTCAATTCAGTTAACGGCGGGGAAACCAGGCTCAAATTTGGATTCTCCGTCGCGTGCAGATATAGGGGATCGTCAAATTCCTCGCCGCGTTGATTTGGACTTGCGGTCGTCTGGTTCGGAGAACTTCCTGCGTTCTCCATCGATCCGTCGTTTCCGGCGGCATTAGTTTCCACCACTGCGGCGTAGCACTGATACCATGATGAAAAGGTTGAAGCTACATTGAAGGTGAAGAAACAGAGAGAATGTGGTTTGAAGAAGAGAGAAGTGTGTAATCTGGAATGAAGTCTCACAGTACATTTAGAGCCAAGAGCTCCTTTATTACAACAAGGGCAAAAGAAACGGTTATAACTAATTGTGATGGAAAAGACAAAAAAACCCCTGAAGGGAAAAGCTTAAGAAAAAACAGCAGCAGCTCTCAGCTCTTTTCTTCATCAACTCGAGTCACTTCATCAATATATATATATATATATATATATATATATATATATATATATATATATATATATTAATTTGTCATGTATGTAGAAATAAAATAAGATATATCATACATACAACCATAATATATTAAAATTTCTTTTAATATCTATTACATAACAAAATAGTTTAAAATGTGGAATTACTTACAGTAATATATAAATTTAACTCTTTTGAGTTTTGACCCAAAACACTAATCATCAACTAAATTGAATTTATAATAAGTTTTGACCCAAATAACCACAATAATCCTCCTGGGAAATCCTATAACAAAAGCATAGATTGGTTGGACGGTTTGTTTGGCAGTTGGCTCAACCAACGGCTACCTGACAAGCATGCAGTTGCAAACCGACAAAACTCGCACCGCACCCGGCTACATACGCTGTCAATAAAGTTGCTTCATAAGTTTTCCCCACTTTTCTTTATTCCAAACATTCAATCTATTTATGATATATAATAGTTCCCACATGCATCCTGTAGATAGATATTGTATAAAAATATTGAACATGCGTTGGCGGCTCTATTTTTAATCAATTCAATACAAAAATTATTAATTAAATTATACTTTTATAATATGCTTATACTTCTTAATTTTGTAATTTAAGAAACAACTCTTTCTATTATCTAAAGAACAGATAACTTTTCATAATTTTTTTTTTAAAATAACAATATTAGACTAGTATGCGTATAAAAATCTATCATTTTATTATCGATATAACCTTAACAATGTTGAATTACGAGATTTTTAGATAAAGATTAAAGGTAGTTGGCGTGGGTGGCTAAAGGCTTGTAACTTGTAAGTATACAAGAATGCCTGGACAAGATAGTAATTATAAATACAATAGAGTAGGAATCCTATGTAATTAATTAGGTTGATGTTCATGCATGTTAGCATAAATTGAGGTTGAATTCAATAACCTTAATTAGATGCATTAATTATTTTAATGAAGTAGACGTGGCTCCGACGTGTAACCAAGCTAATATAATGAGCTTCACATGGACATGCATGGCTGTGCAGATCGAATCATCTGATCCATTGCTTTAATTTACGTGTCTAACATTAATATTCCCTTCAACCTTTCCACCGTTTGTGTCTATACAAAGATTCCAAGTATCTTGTAATTCGATAACATTATTGTGCTGTGACTATTTCAAATTGACGGTCATAAGTTCAATTCGAGTCTCATATAATTAAGGATGTTGGCATAATTTTGTTGAACAAATATTACAGATCTAATCGTAGTTGCAAAAACAAAACAAAACAAAACAAAAAAAAAAAAAAAAAAATTAACAAAAGGAACATGTAAAGACCATTTACATCAGAAATTAAAGATATTAAGTGCGGCAATATATTCGAAGTTGTTTAACATTCGATTTTGTGTATATTGGATAAATCATGCACCTGTGTAAATGTGTAATAACTCGTAAATCACAAATGAGATTCCCTTTGATTTTGTGTATATTGAATAAATCATGCACCTGTGTAAATGTATAATAACTCGTAAATCAAAAATGAGATTCCCTTTTGAGATTAATGAATTTTTTTTTTCCAAAATTCAATAGATGTATAATAGTACACAACTTGTTGATATTTTTAATTAATAAATTAGATTTCACTTTAATTTTAAAAAGTTACTTTTTAAACTATTTTCTTATGGCAATTTAAAACTTTTGTATACATTGTTCATAGTAAAAATACCCAAGATTTTATGATATGATATAGAATTATAATATTCGGTCAAATTTTAGAATCATGCATGATATATAGTATGCAAGCTATATATGTATAGTGACATATGAATAATATCTTTTATTTATTCAAATTCCAAAATCAAGTGTTAAATAAACAAAAAATATTTTTTCTATAGTTTCAAATACACTGAGTTATTGTTAATTAATAAGAAAGTGTGTTAACTTTTTAAAATTTTTAATTAATATTAACATAATAATTTGATCATCCACTATAAGTAATCAATATTATTAATTAATTATTATTATTTCCTCCACCAAGTTTAGAGTAGTGAGATCCTCCAAACTAGAGTGTAATCCTTATTATTAATATAATTATAATAAATTGAAATGAGTTTTAGAAACGTTCTTCAATTTTACTATAAGTATAATAGATCAAATTCTTGATATAAAATCAAGACTATGTGGTCTAATGGTACCCGGGTCGAACTTCCATTTGGAAGGTTGTGAGAGAAAGTATATGAACATCTACTACATTGTATAGAGCCAGTAGCATTCAAAAAAAAAAATTAATATTAATTTAAATGTGATGATTTTTTAAAAAATAATATATGACAAAACATTTTGTTTAAGTAGTGTAAGTAAATACAATCGTTATGCCATGGAACCGTGTTCACCATGGTCCCAATGGTAACGGCACCGTTATCTTCTTCTTCTTCTCTTTTTTTTTTTAATTATTTTTTTTTTGTTCTTTCTCTTAATTAACAGCGCGAATTTTCTTCTTCATTTCGTGGTTTCACTTCCTCTTCGTGCAAGCTTCTTCAACACTCATAAATTATGAATGTGCAGACATAGATTTATGAATGTGCAGTTATGAGATTATGAATTTTCTGTTATGAGATTATGAATTTACAAAAAATTCATAATTACATAACTGTAAATTCATAATCTCATAACAGAAAATTCATAATTTAATAAATGTAAATTCATAATCTCATAACAGAAAATTCATAATCTCTATTATGAGATTATGAATTTACAGAAAATTAATAATTTCATACTGTAAATTCATAATCACATAACAGAAAATTCGTAATTTAATAAATGTAAATTCATAATATGAACATAAAATGCAAAACGCCGTTAACAGCACATTGACTAAATTTTTTTTCCGTAAAAACGACGCCGTTTGGAGGTTGTTTTAGGTTAATACTAATATAAATAGACTTGTTTATTTTTTATTTTTTATTTATTTTATGACGAAAGAAACTCACAACCAGTGTACATATTGGATATATATATATATATATATATATATATATATATATATATATATATATATATATATATAATTCTACTCATGTGTAATAACCTACAAGTTATATAAGAAAAATAAATCGTACTTAGATGATCATGTGTGACATATTTGACCAAGATCAGAGTCATGTTTCATCCACTTGTCCATTGCTTTCGAGGCTGTTTTAGGTTAATTTGTTTGTTTACGGAGGTGTAGGTTTTTGGACTGTTCGATGTATATAAACTAAAATTCATCACATCGCAATAGAAAGGTGATTAATATTGACCAGTTTGTTTGGCTTAGTTAAATGCTGACTGAGTGTCGCAATTATTATTGTTGTGGATATATGATGTTTTTACTTTTTAGTATGACATGTCAAACAATTTTCTAATGTCTTCTCCTATTCACTAAAACATACTTAAATAAATTAACTCCCACTAACCTAATCTAATGCCCTTTGACCTTTTTTTTTCTCCTTTAATCTCGCATCCACCAATATATTATTTTTTTAGTTAGAGTGTGTTTGGAAATCCGAAAAATGATTTTTGGAAATCATTTTTCGGGTTTTGAGTGTTGGCTAAGCTGAAAAATAAATGGTCAAAGGAAAATGAAGAGAAGTCAATGAAAATGAGCTCAAATTTTTGGAAAATGACTTTCCCTTTTTTTGGGGAAGTCATTTTCCATCTTCTCCACACACTTCCTTACTTTCAATTCCGCTTCCTCTTTCAACGCAGAAACAAATCCATGTCTCCACCAACAATGTTTCCGGCGGAAACCACTGGTTTCCGCCTTTCCGCCGGAAACATTAATTGAAAAAAAAAAAACGTGAAAATGGAAACCAGAGAGAACATCTCTCTGGTTTCCCTCGCCGGAAGAAACCAGAGAGAAGTTCTCTCTGGTTTCTTCCGTATTCTTTTTTTTTTTAATTTTTTTTAACTTTTTAATAATTAATATTATTTGATTTTAAAAAATAAATTTTATTATAATTGTTTTTATTTTAAATAAAATAATTAATTATATAAAATGGTTAATTATACAATTCTATCTCATTTTTCGAAAATGAACCAAACACACAAAGACTATTTTCTGCCGTGCTGCCAAACACAAGAAAGGAAAATGTTTTCCGGAAAATGACTCATTTTCCAGAAGTCATTTTCTTGCTTTCCAAACGGACCCAATTTGACTTTTTTTACGCGGGAAGGTAAACCGACACCAGAAATGTAAATTACAGTAGAAAGATTATGTGTGACAGACTCAACTAAAAAAGTGTTAACAGTAATTAAATTCATGATCTTCTGTATGAGAATTATACGCTATCCACTCGGTCACTCTTTTTGAGCAATTTGACTTAATTTTTGAACATTATAAAAGAGGTATAATAATTAAATTAACTTTAACTTTTCAAGTAGAAGCGCGTTAGAACATAATGGACAAAAATTTGTACAAATATAATGGAAAGTTTAGATAATAAATAATTAAAACTTAGCAATAATCAAATGGGGAATATATAAAAACTAATAATCTTTTCCAGCAAAAGTTTCACAATCCTACGAGACTCCATCCCACAGGCTGCTTTCCATTGATTTGGTATCAGCTGGATTATACTGCCCTGTGAATTCACAATTATTATTTATTTTTTAATAATAATATTTAAACAAAACATATAATTATATTATATTGGCCCTGTTTGGTAACATAGGTAGCTTATCAGTCAATATTGACTTATTTGACCACTATTAGACATTTGATTTGATTAAACAATTAACATGAGTGTTTGATTAATTAATTTTTTGTAACAATTTATTGCTTCAATATAGGCATACCTGCTGCAATAAAATACTGCTGATTGAAACCATTGATAGGATGTTGGCGTGCAGGTAGAATAACCGTTGAACCGTTGTCACTTTCTCTTCTCAATTTTTCAAAATTTTGGGGATGATTTATTGGATAGTTATTATATCCCACCACTGAATTATTATTTCCATTGCTATGAATATAATTCAAGGAATTATTGTTGTTATTATCGTTGTTATTGTGTACAACGTTGTTGTTGTTGCCGTCGTTATTATTGGCGGCGGCGGCGGCGTTGTTCCACCCAATCACCATGCCTCCCGTGGGCTCGTATTGATTCTTGTACAGCTTCAGCTCCTCGTACACCCTTCGGTACTCTCCCAACGGCCCCAACACCGGGTCGTTTTGCCGGCAAATCGCCTCCCACACGAGCGACTCCACCGCCCGCCCCCGCTCCTCCTCCTTCAAATTCCTCACCATCTTCGTCACGTTGCTCACCCCGAACACCTTGTGCACCGCCTGGTGTTGAGACTTAGTTTGTTAGTAGTTTGTATTGACCTAGTCTTGTGATTTTGTTATAACTCTGTACTTTATTTATTGATTGTTTCAGTTCTAGCTCTCATACCTGGAACTCCCGGCTCTTCTCGGCCGGGAAGAACGGCGCCAGCACGCACTTCTCCGTGCACTTCTTACGTTGGTGCTTGCATGAGGCGCATGCAGACGATGTAGTACTTCCATTGCTCCTTTGCATTATTGCGGAGGATTACCATCTATCAATGCCAGAACCAGAAGCTAGCTTTGGTCCTTTGATTTGATTATTATAATTAATATCAAACCAAGTTAGTTTGGTCGGGGATTATAAGTAAACAAATTAAAGAAAAGGACATACATGGTTTTCACCCTTGCAACCTTAAATGTATTGTTTTTTTTTTCTTTTTTCTTTTTCCTTCTGGAAAAAAATGGAAAGAGTGTTTTTGTATTTATAAATTAATACAAATATGCACACGAGAAATTTGTAGATAATTGGAAAGTTTGAATTGCCAACGCCATGAAAAGATGGCCTTTTCTCATAAAGATTTGTAGTTGGAAGCATCACACCTGGCCTTTTTGATCTTGCATGGAAGTGTATCATGTATGTGTTTAATTGTGTTCACAACCAATTCATACTACTAGCTATAGTCGAATCGAATCGATATTATTCGTGTACTGAATGTACATTATACAAAGTAATATACTTTCTCATAATACAATGTATATTTTTAATATATTAAAAGTACATTATTTGATAGTATGATCAACATAGTTGTATGGATCATGGTCCACACAATAATGATTGGGCTTTGACGGACCCGTCCAGCCAGTTCTACCCAAGACTCTAAAGGTTGATTGGGCCACACTCATTGGATGGAATAGTTATGCTGTGCATCTGTATGCACCATGCATGGTGCATACAGATGCAAAAACGACGTCGTTTTATTAAAAACGCGCGTCTCCCCTTTAAAAAAAAAAATTCAGGTTCGATTCCTATTAACAACATTATTTTGTTCATTCATTATGGAATTTTAGTTCATGGATTATGGAATTATAGTTTATCGATTATGGAACTATAGTTCATCGATTCTGGAATTATAGTTCATCGATTCTGAAATTTTAGTTCATAGATTCTGGAATTTTAGTTCATTCGTTCTGAAAATTTTAGTTCATAGATTAGATTATGGAATTATAGTTCATCAATTATGGAATTATAGTTCATCGATTATGGAATTATAGTTCATCGATTATGAAATTATAGTTTCGAACCTAATTTTTTTTTTTTTAAGGAGAGACGCGCGTTTTATAAAAACGACGTCGTTTTTGCATCCGTATGCACCATGCTTGGTGCATACGGATGCACAGCATAATTTGCCCATTGGATGGCCTGTTATTTACTAAATGGGCCGGTATATGCTCAATAGACCATTGGACGTTAATATATGAACCATATCATTTAAATGGGGTTTTTACAATATTTCTTTTTCTTTTCTTAAATCCATCCAATAATCAAAATATTTTTTTTTCCTATTTTTGTGGGGAGGTATTATAGTAAAAGTAGTATAAAATTTTGTAAAAAAAATGATAATGGTAATAATGAGTGGTACGGTGAAATGATGCAATATTTGGCTTGATGAACACTCCACATGCAAGACAGGCAATATATGCAACAAACAACACTAACACCAAACACCCACCATTGCATGTTCTCTCAGCCCCCTCATCACTTTCTAACCTCTGTCCTTCTCCTTTAAGTAACAGAAAGCACATTTGACAATTATTTCAAAATGGAAACAATTTGAGGCTCCAACTAAAGTTAGCTAGCTTGCTACATATCTATCTATCCCCCACCCGCCCACTATAACTTTTTTCATTTAAATCCTTAGCTAGCTTCCTCTGCTTTCTTTCAAATTCAAACTACATACCCCTCCATCACTTTATCTCATCTTTTCAACTATTCCTCCATTAATCTCACCTGGCCTCACTCTTTAGTCTTTATCCCTTAGCTCTTCAAGATTGCAGGAGGCTTAACTGGAAAGAATAATATAATGACGACTGCAAGGTTTATCAAGTGTGTTACTGTGGGTGATGGTGCTGTTGGGAAGACATGCATGCTCATCTCTTACACCAGCAATACTTTCCCTACTGTATGTATATATGTATATATGCAGCCACGCACTTCAATTCTGTGAATTCTCATGTTGTTTTTTTGTTTTAATGAAAGATGTGTTTTGTGACAGGATTATGTTCCTACAGTTTTTGATAATTTTAGTGCCAATGTTTCTGTGGATGGAAGTACAGTTAATCTTGGACTTTGGGACACTGCAGGTTGGTTCAACCTCGTAGAATTTGACTCTTTAGAAATTTTACAGTTACATTAGCAGTTCGTTTAATTACCGAAATACAGGGCAAGAGGATTATAACAGGTTGAGGCCTCTGAGTTACAGAGGAGCTGATGTTTTCTTGTTAGCATTCTCCCTTATTAGCAAAGCCAGCTATGAGAATGTCTCAAAGAAGGTACATATATATTTATATACTTCAATTATATTATTAATTAATTAATTTCTTGAATTGTTTCTGATCTCATTCCAATTCTGGGTTTACAGTGGATTCCTGAACTCAGGCACTATGCTCCCAATGTCCCACTTGTTCTTGTAGGAACCAAACTAGGTACGTGAATCCCAACTCCTTCAATTCCTTCACTCGATCAGATCAACAACCTTAATTTTATTCCTTAAAATAAAACATTATTCTAATACATATTTGTGAATTCAATTATATTATTGCAGATTTACGCGATGATAAACAGTTCTTAGTGAATCACCCTGGTGCCACCCCAATCACAACTGCTCAGGCATGCCTAGTTAATTACTAACATATATAACAATTAATTAAGCAGAAAGTGAATGTATATATAAATGTATGATTGTATATATGTAGTGATATATATGGTCTTCATGCATGCAGGGTGAAGAACTGAAGAAGATGATTGGTGCTGCAACTTACATTGAGTGCAGTTCAAAGACACAACAGGTTCTCTTAATTATATATATGTGTTTTCTTAATCTAATTCAATAATTAATTTCCTCGATCTGTCATTTGTTGTTAAGATCATATATATCGACAGGTAGGAAGGAGAGTGTGATAATGATGAGATTAATAATTTAATTAATATTAATTTGTGTGATCTGATTTGCAGAATGTGAAGGCAGTGTTTGATGCAGCAATCAAAGTAGTGCTGCAGCCACCTAAGCCAAAGAGGAAGCAGCGACGGAAGTCTTCACGGCGTTGTGTCTTTCTGTGAATCATTTTCTACTTTACTCTCTCTCTCTATATATATATATATACTGCCGCTTTTGTAACGCAATCAAAGGTTAATTAAAACCCCATGGCTCTCGTACCTATTGTTTTTTAAGGTTTAGTACAGTGTAACCACCTTTTATTTTGTTATCAAAGTTTATTATAGATATATTTTTATTTCTTTATTTGGTTAATTAGTAAAACTAATAATCTTCAATTCGAACCCATTATTACTATTTCAGTGATTGAATTGATTGATACTATCATTTAGTTTAATTTCATCCTTGTTGTCAGCCATCTCTATGACCTCTGCAAGCTTCAATAATCTTGTATAGGTAGTTGTTGATTATAGCTTGAAGCTAAGATAAAAGAAAAGTTAAGGAATAATAATAAATGAAAACAATTTTAAAGAAAAAAACAAAACAAAAAAGTTCATCAATCAATCACGTTGATAAGAGGGGATTGGAACACTCATGAGTCATGACCTCCGATCCAGGATTATATATTCCATATATTTTTACATATGGCTGCACTCACACTTTTACTTTTTAAAAAATAATTAATTCAACACTTTTTAATACGACACATTCTTTATAAATATAGTCAATCTATATATTTATGAATTAGGATAATCAGCTCAACTGGTCATAAGGGTGAAAGTTGAAAAAAATGACCATGAATCAAGTTTCACAAGCCTCAGTGCGAGGGGGGCTCCTTGTGCGTGCCATTAGACCATAAGGTCAAATCTAGTAATGTTAAATTTTGATATTATACGTCATATAACCGCAATCAAATCCAAGACCACGAAGCTGAGACCCTTGAAGACTAATCCGTGTCTCCAGCAATAAAAAGATGGAGGATCACTTCAAAACTTTCAAAATTTGGTTTCTAGTGTGTCTGTTTAAAACTCTGAGATCTTTGACCACTAACATCCTCCCGCTACGCGGGAAATACTCGCATGATATAGACCACGAAAAATATGAAGGTGAACCACAATGAAAAACATACTTGCCCCCATGGTTGCAGTAGGCGTTAGGCGCTAGTCGGGCGCCCGTACAGCGCCTAGGCGGGCGCCAAAAAAACAGTGGTATACTTGCAGTTTGACAATTTTAATGAGGTTGTTTTCAACATTTAATCAAATAACATATCCAAATAAATGAATTAATGATAACTCATAAGTCATAACATCAAAATAATGGTTTTTAAAAAAAAAAAACATTAAAACAATATTAAAAATTAAAAATACTCAAATATGAAATACTCAAATATTTCAATCATCCAAAGATTCAAAGTATCAAACTAGTCTACGAGTGTATATATGTCATATTATATATATGTATGTGCGCGCACACACACACACATATATATAATAAAAAAAAATAAGCCGAACCGATCGAGTTAAATCGACCGAAATGGACGAGTTAACTCGATTGAAATGGACGAGTTAACTCGACTAACTTAGACGCTAGGCGGCTAAATCGGCCGAGTTAGGCGCTAGGCGGGCGCCTAGGGGGGAAATCGCCACGATCTAGAGGCGCCGGGCGCTTAGACCGATTTTTACAACCCTGCTTGCCCCATTAGCATGCATATAATGGAGCAACCAGCCCCCTTCAACATCTCTCATAATCAGTTTTTGCCAATATTGTATTCTCCCATAGTCCCGGACAAACCCATCGTAAATGATTTTTTTATTGTAATTTATCTCTCCGACGATGTAATTTATGAGTTATTATACAAAAATGAGATTTACTTGGTGCATACTTTTGATAGTAGCTATTAGGTTTTTGTTTTATTTTTTTTTTGGTTAAGAAATTGATAATGATACCATCATCATTATTGTGTAAAAAGGAAAATTGTAATCAATATGGACACGGACAGATTCACAGATTTGTAATTGCAGTGCAAGCCTGCAAGGTATATATAATAAGTTAAGAAATTATTTGCTAAAAGTCTAAGACGTGAGAATGAAGTTTTAATCATAATGATATTTTTAATTAATCCCACGTACCAGTCTTATGATTGTTATCTAGAACTACAATGTGAACTAACCTTAGACTATTCTATTTGCGTGTAATATAATCAAAGTGTATGTAAAAGTAAAACCAACATCTCCATCCTTGTTTGGAACACACGTTTCGTGCTCTGATTTAATTTAGACAACTTTTGAAACATGTAATAACATACTATTCTTAAATCTTAATTTTACAATGTTGTCAGTATTTGACCCTTAATAATGTGAATGCCTAATAAAATTGAATATCTCAAGATGACGTATATATAGCATATGGTTTGAAATATTCTTTAGGATTAATAAACAAATCCAAAAGCTTCATTTTATAAGTAAACCGAAAATCTTAATAAATAAGAATTGTTTGAGGAAGATACATATTTATTACTTTGAAAAAGTAGAGTGATAATTGAGTTTTTCTATGATTTTGTATTGTCTTATTTATGATTTAGTTACCCATCATTAATTATTAGGTGGGTTACTTTTTTTTTTTTTTCTCACCTTATGTATAAAAGGCGAAACACACTTGCTAGCAGTTAGGCTTACGCATTAACCCGACAAGATAGTAGATGGGTGTGTGGGGGGCCCTTAGGGTTGAGATTCAACCTTTTAGAAGAAAATATTAGATGGGTAAATCATGGTGATTCAGTCAGTTACTTTTTGTGAAATTTTCTGATTGCGTCTCGATAAACTAGTTGATTAATAAATCATGATAACTCAATGGTTCATTAGGTAGGAAAACTCATGTCTAGTGCACACAAAAAATCTATTACATTTTGTGTAACTTTCACACTATAATTGAAATTGTGTTATTGCCTATTTTCTCATCTAAGAACCAACTGAGATGCCTAACTTATACTCTTATCCATAATTTATCGCTCAAGAACTAACTGAGATACCCGTAGTTCTTTTCCTCACCTGCAACAACTAAAACGGTAAGGGCCAATCTAAAATAAATGAAACATTACAATCATAAATGTAATTTAATTTAAATCCGTGCACACGGGTTTTGAACTTTGAAGAGATCTCCCTCTCTGTCTTCTTCAAATTCATCTCTTTCTCTCTCTATATACATACACACACATAAATACAGGGAGAGGGAGAATCGAAGAGAGAATTGGAAACTGCAGAAGAAGAAGAGGAGCAAAGAACAATGGGGGCTTACAGACCGGAAGACGATTACGACTACTTGTTCAAGGTGGTGCTGATCGGCGACTCCGGCGTCGGAAAATCCAACCTTCTCTCCAGGTTCACCCGCGACGAATTCAGCCTGGAGTCCAAGTCCACCATCGGCGTCGAGTTCGCCACTCGAACCATCCACGTAGCAGACAAGGTCGTCAAAGCCCAGATTTGGGACACCGCCGGACAAGAACGGTACGTTCTTGATTTTCCGGCCAGATCAATCTTCTCCATCTTTTAACTCATCTGGCCGGAAATTTTTAATTCGGTTGAAATGAGTGATCTATTGTGTGTTGCAGATACCGTGCAATCACCAGCGCATATTACCGGGGAGCTGTCGGCGCATTGCTCGTGTACGATGTGACGCGTCAAACAACCTTGGAAAACGCGGCGAGATGGTTGAAGGAGCTCCGCGACCACACGGATTCCGGCATTGTTATAATGCTGGTGGGAAACAAAGCAGACCTGCGGCACCTGCGGGCTGTCAGCGTTGAAGAAGCGAAGGAATTTGCGGAGAAAGAGAGCATCTTTTTCATGGAAACCTCGGCGCTGGAATCCATGAATGTTGAAAGCGCCTTCACGGAAGTGCTGGCTCAGATACACGGCGTTGTTAGCAGGGCAAGTCTTGAGGGAGGCGACAGCCCGGCATCGTTGCCTAAGGGACAGAGCATTAACGTTGGGAGTAAGGATGATGTTTCGGCGGTTAAGAATCCTGGCTGCTGCTCTGCTTAGCTTAGCTTAGAACAATCGCCATTTCAATGGCCGGCCAGCATATTATTTTGTGCAGCCCATTACCAAAATATTATTTATTTTGTGGTTTGGTTTTCAGTGTAGTATTATTATTAGGTGGTTAAGTACATCCTAGTACTAGGATAATATAAATATATACTGAGTTGAGATTTGAGAATGAGTTTGAATTTGTATGAACTATGAAGGTGTGTTTTGTTTTATTGCGAAATTAGTTCATTGCCGACATTTCTCACGGCAATAAAATGCTATGTTGTTTTTCCTTCTTTCTTCTGAGTTTTTTTTTTTTTTTTTTTGATAAATTTACTTTTTGGCATATATTTATGACTAAGGGATGGGTTTGAAAACCCAAAAAATGATTTTTGAAACTGTGTTTGACATAAAGAAAAATTTAGAGTTAATAGAAAATATGTCTTGATCAATGGGAAATTCATCATACTTTTCAAAAAAATAATTTTTTTTTTTTTTTGGAAGTCATTTTTCAAGTTCTCTGCCCTCTCCTCATGCATTTTCTCTTGCACCTCTTCTCTCTCACCTCTTCTCTTTCACTTTCTTCCAAGTTTCACTCTGAAATGGTTGTCGGGCCGGAAACCAGTCGGCCAACATGGTGAGAAGATAGCCAGCACTGGTGAGCATGAACGCAAATGAGTATTTTTTATCACTCAGCTCCTCAAAAGTCTCATTAGCGTCGCTCAAGAAATGCATCAGAGCAGTCTCAGTCGTACCCAACACCAAGAACCCCTCGTTCCACTTGAGAAAGTAGGGGGAAATTCCCCGTGAAAAACGTTCCCACGAAGACGATAATCAGGCACCGTATCTTGACCATAATCAACTGCCGAGATCTTAGGTCAGGCTTTTCAGATTCGTCGGGGTCAGAATCATCGTCGTCTTGGCCACCATGGGCAGTGGTAGGGACGACTAGGAAGGTGAGGAAGAGAAGAAACCGATGCATTATTGGAGAATTTTTAGCATTTTATGACAATATATAAATTTGCAGTTAGCTTAAATTTTAATCAAACAATTCAAAATAATTAAAATGTTTAATTATATAATTCAAGTCATTTTTCAAAAAATGAATCAAACACACAACAGACAATTTTTTGTTTTGCAGAAAGAAAAATATTTTTTGAAAAATGACTTATTTTTCAAAAAAAAAAAAAAAAAATTCAGAGAGTCATTTTCATACTTTTTAAGCGGACCCTAAGATTATCAACATGTGAGGACATATTTTAACACACTAATCATTCTTGATATAATTGCATTTTGTATATTTTTGACTAAATACCTACAATGTGATTTTAGCAATAAAATATTAAATATATTAAAATTCAATATTATTGACTTTTGAAAAATGAAAAGGATGTGGATTGGAACGATTTCTTAAAGGTGTTTAGGAATTATGATTTGTAATTGTTTTTGAATTGTCAATAAAGTTGTTCCTTAGAAGCAAAGTGCTGTAAAATTTAAGTGATGTATTAGACAAGCTAGAAAAATATAATCGTTTAACATGTTTCTCCAAAGCTTTTAATGTGTTTGTGAATTAGTACCTAAAAAGTAAGATTTATCTCTACATATCATTAAAATATGATATTTGATTTTTATTCATTATAAAAACAAAATATTTTTAATATGTCATTTTGTATAACTAAATCTTATGTAAATCATATGAATAAGAATCATACTTTACCATGATTTACATGCTCTACTAGGTTAGAATATGAAAACCCTTGAGATTAAAAATTTATTTTTTTAAAAAAAAAATTATATTTTACCTACTTAATCACTCATTTCAAGTTTTAATATAACTATTTTGAACACATATTATAATAATCATTTATTTTTGTCTTGAATTCTACACACGCAAATACGGTAATATGATCCTTTAATAAAATCTATATTATTAAATTGTCACTTTAATACTCCGTATATAATATCATTAAAAGTGATACCAAATTATTTTTATAAATTATAATGAAATGTCTATTTTCAAAATCTTAATTCTTAATGGACCGCTAGCGTGTCCCCACGCTTAATGCGCCACTCTGACGACTCTGATTCACACCATAAATAGCGCTAAATATAATACGAATTATATATACATACACCTTTCCCGAACTCGCATCTTGATTCTCTAAAATTCTCAAAAATGGAGTTTTCACCATCATCATCATCCTTATCGTCTACGGATAAGGTGAAATTCCGAACCAAAGTTTTAAGCAGACACCTAAACCAACAAAGCAGCCACCCTCTGATCCTCGAATCCTCGCCATGCCTCAGCTACGCTCCGCCGGAGCTCTCCGAGAAGCCCGCCGCTTTCGACGTGTTCGAGATGCGGAAGCTGATGGACGGCCACAACTTGCAGGAAAGGGATTGGGTTTATGGTATCATCACCCAGAGCAGGCTTTTCAACCCGAGGGGTAGGGGCGGGAAAGTGTTTGTGGGGGCGGATTATAACCAATCCATGGAGCAGCAGAGAGAGATGACCATGAAGAGAATTGGGTATCTCTTGGATTGTGGGGTTTTTCAGGGATGGCTAACTGGGAAAGGGCCTGAAGCTGAGCTCAGGAAGCTGGCTCTCTTGGAAGTTGTTGCTATTTTTGATCAATCTCTGAGTGTCAAGATTGGTGTCCATTTCATGTTGTGGTATGATTTTCTTTTATTGTTACTGCATTTCATTTCTCTTGATTTCTGATTTTGATTTGAAATTGAACATTCAGGCTTTCTTCTAGCTTTTGCTTATATTTTCAAAAAGTTAGCATTTTTGTAGAAGAAAGAAATATGGGTAGGGACCAAAAGTATTTTGTAGATATTCTTTTCTTTGGTGGTTATGGAACACTTATATATAACATTGGTAGCTTATAATTAGAGGAGCAAATTCCTTACAAGAAATGTGTACACTTAAAGTGATTTATTAGGTTGAGGAGTAGTTGGGGTGTTTAGAGGCATGCCTTCCAAGAAATATAATGTATAGTTCTATTTAAGTTTGGTTGGTTGTAGCTTTTCTGGCAATGCATACTATTGTAGTGTTGATAGATTGCTGAACTTCATTTTTTAATATCATTTCAGGGGTGGAGCTATCCAATTTTTCGGGACAAAACGCCACCATGATAAGTGGTTGTGTGATACTGAAAATTATGTGATTAAAGGTTGCTTTGCAATGACGGAGTTAGGGCATGGCAGCAATGTCTGTAAAAGTAGTTTATATAGTTTCGGTTAATGATGAAAGTCACACCCGTTCTATAATGTTAATAGGATGTTTGCTTTACAAATTTCCCAGGTTCGAGGCATTGAAACAGTCACAACTTATGACTCGAGCACAGGGGAGTTTGTTATAAACACTCCGTGTGAGTCAGCTCAGAAGTACTGGATTGGAGGGGCAGCTAATGTAATCCCACTCTTATCAAAGTCTTTTGCTTCTTCCTAGCTAGTTTAGTCGTTTCTGACCTTATGCTTGTGTGCCAATAATGCTTTAACGCTTCCTTGTAATCCTATTGTAGCATGCAACACATACAGTAGTTTTCTCACAACTTAAGATTGATGGGAAAGATCAAGGAGTCCATGCGTTTATTGCTCAGATCAGAGACACAAATGGTAACATTTGTCCCAACGTTCGTATAACCGACTGTGGTCACAAGATTGGCCTGAATGGGGTTGACAATGGTCGGATATGGTATTTGTTCGTTCAATTTCTATCATGTATTTGCAAGTGTCAATTTTCTTGGCCTGAAGTTTTTCCAAATTCGTTTTTCCAGGTTTGACAATGTGCGCATTCCTAGGGAAAATTTATTGAATTCAGTGGCAGATGTTTCTTCGGATGGGAAATATCTGACTGCGATTAAGGACCCGGACCAGGTAACTTCAATTAAAATAAGTATTGATGCCAACTTGAATGAATATTAACTTAAGAGTTAAGACATCTTGTGTCATGGTTTATATTTCAGCGATTTGGAGCATTCATGGCCCCTTTGACATCTGGACGTGTAACCATATCATCTAGCGCGACTTACTCAGCAAAGGCAAAACAACCTACTTCTTTTCTTTTTAAGCCTTTTCTCTGATTTAATATTTGTGGAAGTGATAGTATTAGAACTTGTATGTAACTGCAGTTTTTTTCTTCATCAGGTAGGAATAACAATCGCCATAAGATACTCCTTAACCAGGAGAGCATTTTCACTTACACCAAATGGACCTGAAGTTTTGTTGCTTGATTACCCAAGTCATCAACGACGACTACTGCCCCTTCTTGCAAAGACGTTAGTGGCTAACTTCTGCTAGATATATGTTGGCATTTTAATTTAGTCATTACCCTTTTTCTTTCTGCTTTTCTTTGATAATTGATATAACAAGTTCGCTTCTGATCTGTTCTTGGTTAACTGAGACTATTGATAACTAACTTAACCCTTGGGGTGTTTGGTAAATGGCTGTTAGTTGATTGGGTTAGTGAGTTTGACTAGTTGATACTTGATAGCATTAGCTGGTGGTAGGAAAGTGTTTGGTAAATTAGCTGTTAGCTGATTACATACAAAATGACTTTCTCAAAAAGTTGATCGAAAAGGCTACTTTGAGCAGCTTTTTGAATTTTAGCATTTTAGAACAATAAGTTGTTGCAAAAAGCTAATTAATCAAACACTCATATTGATTGTTTAACCAAGTCAAAAAGCTAATAGTGGTCAAATAAGCCAAAATTGGCTGATAGGCTAACTATTTTACCAAACAGGGCCCTTGTCTTCCATCATTTTGGTTACAATTCTTTGCCTTCGCTTAAATCTTCACTTTTTTCATGTAAAATCAATACATTGTGCCCCTATTCAAGTCTAAAATTTCTTATTTATGAACATGGTGTTCTTGTGTTGCAGCTATGCCATGAGTTTTGCTGCTAACTACCTGAAAATGATTTATGTAAAGAGGACACCTGAAATATACAAAACCATACATATTGTTTCAAGCGGTTTTAAGGCTATCTTAAGCTGGCATAACATGCGGACACTTCAGGTAGTAGCTGACATCATATTTGCGGTTAAAAGGATTTGTGGAGTCTCCTTTTTAATTCAAATTTTACGCTATAAATTGAATCAGGAATGTAGGGAAGCATGTGGAGGGCAAGGCTTGAAGACCGAGAATCGTATAGGCCAAGCAAAAAGTGAATATGATGTACACTCTACTTTCGAGGGCGACAACAATGTTCTTATGCAACAGGTACAGAACAGTTTTTTTTTTTTTTTTTTTAAATTTGGGATAATATTATCAATTACATATTCAGTTTAAGATTTTAAGTTAATAAAATGATATCGTGGAGCCAGGTTAGCAAGGCACTTCTCGCAGAATATGTTGTGTGCAAAAGCAAGGGCAGGCCATTTAAGGAATTGGGGTTGGAACACATGAACGAATCATCGCCTCCTGTTATACCTTCAAAGCTTTCGAGTGATATCCTAAGGAGCATCCAATTCCAGGTATTAAATTTTCTGTTTTTATTCTACCTCTAGAGAATTCGTTTGCGATATAGACTAGACAGTCTCGTTTTTTCGTTCTCAGAATGACATACTTTGCCTTCGAGAGCGGGACCTTTTGAATCGCTTTGTTGATGAAGTTTCGCAACGCCAAGCACAGGGTGAAAGCAAAGAAAACGCTCTTTTGTTGGTAAGATATATACCTTTCGTGTTTATATATTTCAATTCGTGCATCAATGCTGGCAACGCGTTTTTCCTTTTCTTACCCAGAGCTACCAGCTCGCTGAAGACCTAGGCAGAGCCTTCACAGACCGTGCAATTTACCATACTTTTCTCGAGGCCGAGGCTTCTGCAAACTCTGGTTCGCTAAAGGTACATATCACCTTAAACAACATGGTATTTCTGCTAATGAACACGATTTACAGTTAAAGATAATGGTCTGATCCAGAACTCTCGAGTGATTCGCCTGCCAATTTCCTTGCAGAATATTCTCGGTCTGGTAAGATCAATGTACGCGATGGTTACTTTGGATGAAGATGCTGCATTCCTGCGATACGGTTGCTTAACAACAGATCATGCTAGTGCAGTGAGGGAAGAAATCACAAGGCTTTGCAGTGATCTAAGGCCTCATGCTCTTGCCTTGGTCAATTCCTTCGGCATACCTGATGCTTTCTTGAGCCCCATAGCTTTTAATTGGATTGACTCAAATGCTTGGTCTTCCATTTAGGATAGATAGATAGCTGTTAAGAGTCCCACATTGATAAAATAAGACAGAACATGCTTGGTCTTCCTTTAGGATAGATAGATAGCTGTTAAGAGTCCCACATTGATAAAATAAGACAGAACATGCTTGGTCTTCCATTTAGGATAGATAGATAGCTGTTAAGAGTCCCACATTGATAAAATAAGAGAGAACATATGAATTTAATGATTTATAAAGCTATGGGTTAGACTAGTTAATTTATTGAATTCAATCTTTTAGCGTGATTTGGTTCATGTGTGTTATAGCCCAGTTGATTGACCAAATAAATTTATCCCTGACCGGATAGTAGCATCTTGGCCTAGGATCTCTAAATTACGTTTGTGTAATTTTTTTTTATTTTTTATTTTATACCTCTACTTTGTATCTAAAAAATATATAAATCTCATATGGAGGTGAATTATTTCTATTAATTTTATATGTATTATTTTATTTATAGTGTTTGAATTTAAAATGCTCAAATTCTTTTGACATGAGTTACATATGATGGTATATAATTTAGTACATGTGCTAAAAAGTTGTTTAAGTGGAGCACTTTATAAAAAGGAAAATGCTATGTATAATCATCACTGCCCACTTATGCAAGAAAAAAGTTGTGTGGATTGCTACTATACATCAAAAAGTTGTGTGGATTGCTACTATACATCTCTCATTGCATTGTTTAGTAACTTAGTATCCAAGAGATGTTACAAAATATTATGATATGATATCATGTTTTTTAGTAACATGAGTAATTAAATTTTTACAAGCTAAATTATATTAGTTCTTTTTTAAAAAAATTACAATACTAAAAAAATATTATGTATATTATTATAAATAAAAATGATTTTTTTTTAAATTTAAGTGGAGCGGTTCACTTTAAATAGACAAAGTACAACTACTTTGGACAAATCACCTGTCTAAAGTAAGGGAAACTATCCAAAAGCAACCTTAGCAAGAGGAAGGGTGGATACTCTATCATTTGATTGGCTTAGTAAAGAAGTTAACAAGTTTATGGAGAACGGGCAATTTCATTTTGTTCCGTACATATATGTCTTGCTTACACTTTAATTTTCATTATCGTTTCATCTCTTTTTTGTTGTTTTTCTTTTCTTTACTTTTTTAAAAAATAAATTTATCACCGACTAGATGGCAACACATGCATATAGATGATAGGATCATTTTGGCCAAGAATCTCCAAACGATGTTTGTTTCCTTTCTACGACAGATAATATTAGTACAACACAATCACATTTTTTATAATTTATTTGTTTTTATACTCCTCCTTTGTATTAAAAAAAAAAAAAAAAAAAAAAAAAAAAAAGGAAAATGCTATTTATGATCCTGACTCCTACTTATGCAAGAAAAAAAGTTGTACGGTGTGGATTACTACCATACATCTTTCATTTCCCACTTAGACACTTAGTATCTAAGAAATATCTATAAAATATTATGATATGATGTTTTAATAGCACAGACTGATTTGGGAGAAGAGATTAATGTTCAAATTTCAGTGCTGGTAGGAATTATGTTCAAAATGAACAGATCCTTTGTGATTACTGACATTTGGTCATGTCTATAAAATTATTGAGTCGCAATAATTTATTATCTCTCAAATGCTCTGTGAGGTCGGGAATGAGCTCTCGGGGAAATTCAATTTTTTTTTTTAGAAAGGAAATTCAACCTTTTAGAATTGGAGCTGTGTGACCAGTGGATAATCTCAACATGCCAGAATTGAAGCTCGCGTGTCTGCACGGCTCTCAAGCAGCTGACGTGGCGCTCTGTATTTCGTTCCCACCTAAATATATAATGGAGTGGAGTCTGCTTTCTTAAGTTTCTACAAAGCTGGCTGCTTTATTCGCAATAATGGAGTCTTCACCGTCGTCAACGGAGAAACCGAATTTCCGAGCCAAAGTCCTAAGCGGACACCTAACCCAACAAAACAACCACCCTCCGATCCTCCAATGCTCGCTGTCGGCGTCGCCGTGCCTGAGCTACACCCCGCCGGAGGTCTCCGAGCCAGGCGGCTTGGACGTTTGGGAGATGCGGAAGCTGATGGACGGGCACAACTTGCAGGACAGGGATTGGCTCTATGGCATCATGATCCAGAGCCATCTTTTCAACCCGAGGGAGAGAGGCGGAAAGGTGTTTGTGGCGGCGGATTATAACCAGAATATGGAGCAGCAGAGAGAGATGACGATGAGGAGAATTGGGCATCTCTTAGATTGTGGGGTTTTTAAGGGATGGCTCACTGAAAATGGCCCTGAATCTGAGCTTAGGAAGCTGGCTCTCCTGGATGTTATTGCCCTTTTTGATCACTCTCTCAGTGTCAAACTTGGTGTCCATTTCATTCTCTGGTATATATATGTGTGTGTGTTTCTCAGCTAAGTTCCTCGGAGTTTTGGTGGTTTTGTCACATTTAGTTCTAAACTTTCAAATCGATCTCCCATTTGTGTCTTAAAAAGTAAGGGTAAAAGAGTCTTTTTATGTCCAGCCGGCCGAGCCAAAACAATTGATTTTCATCAAGAATTAGCCCTAATCTCCGGAGATTATGGCTAATTCTTGTGGGTAATCAATTATTTTGGCTCAGCGGGACATAAAAAGACTCATTTGCCCTTACACGATGTAGACGGCGGATGTTTTCATAGATTATGGTTAATTCTTGGGAGAAATCAATTGTTTTGGCTAGGCCCGACATAAAAAGACTATTTTGCCCTTATTTTTCACTGCGCAAACGACAGATGTTAATCAAAGGACTACGGCAGGTTGAAATTCAAAACTCGGAGGATCAGTGGTGATCGATTTGAAAATTTAGGACTAAACGTGGCGAAAATAACGAAATTACCAAACTCGGAGGGGCTTAGATGGCATTAACTCATATATGTTAATTACTTTTTAATTTCTTGCTGATATATAGCTTAAATCAATTGTTTAAGAGTTAACTTCTATTTTCTTTTCTTTTCATTTTTGAAAATGGTACGTGTCAGGGGTGGAGCTATCCAGTTTCTGGGAACAAAGCGCCACCATGATGAGTGGTTGAGGGATACTGAAAATTATGCAGTGAAAGGTTGCTTTGCAATGACAGAGTTGGGGCATGGCAGTAATGTCTGTGAAAGTGGTTTATATATATAGTTCAGTTCTGTCAAATGAAATGAATGTTAATAGGATGTTTGCTCTATGATTTCCCAGGTACGAGGTATTGAAACAGTCACAACGTATGACTCAAGAACAGGAGAGTTTGTTATAAACACTCCATGTGAATCAGCTCAGAAGTACTGGATAGGAGGGGCAGCTAATGTATGTAATACGACTCGATCTTATGTATATATGTTTTAAGTGGTTCTGATCTTATGCTTCTGTGTAAGTAATGGTTTAACACTTGCTATAATAATCGCATTGTATTGTAGCATGCAACACATACAATAGTATTTTCACAACTTAAGATTGACGGGAAAGATCAAGGAGTCCATGCGTTTATTGCTCAGATCAGAGATGCAAATGGTAACATTTGTCCCAACATTCGTATAGCTGACTGTGGTCACAAGATCGGTTTGAATGGAGTTGACAATGGCCGGATATGGTATTAACTCAAAAATGATATTTTTGGTCACGTAACTGCGTAAACATGCCAATTGCCCGTCTTGGCCTAAAGCTTCTCCGAATTCATGTTTCCAGGTTTGACAATGTGCGTGTTCCCCGGGAAAATTTGCTGAATTCAGTGGCAGATGTTTCTCATGATGGCAAGTATCTGACTGCAATTAAGGATCCTGACAGGGTAACCTCAATTAACCTAAGTACCAATGCTAAACTGTGTCTGTCTGTCTTAACTTGTTGTGATCTTCCAGTTCCTTGGCACTGTTTAATGGTTTATGTTTCAGAGATTCGGAGCATTCATGGCGCCTTTGACAACAGGGCGTGTAACCATACCATCCATCGTAACTTACTCAGCAAAGGTGGGCATAGCCATTGCCATAAGATACTCGTTGACAAGGAGAGCATTTTCAGTCACACCAAATGGACCCGAAGTTTTATTGCTCGATTACCCCAGTCATCAAAGACGACTACTCCCTCTTCTTGCAAAGACGTAAGTAGCTGTGTCTGCATTTCTCCTCATTGCCCTTTCCTTTCTGCTTGTGTTGCGTTTTATGTCACAATTTTGGTTCTATACTTGGTTAACCGAGGTTGTTAATAACTAACTAAGCCCTCGTGTTCTTTTGCTGCAGATATGCCATGAGCTTTGCTGCTAACTTCTTGAAAAGGATGTATGTGAAGAGGAAACCTGAAATGATCAAAACCTTACATGTTGTTTCGAGTGCCTTTAAGGCTACCTTAAGCTGGCATAATATGCGAACACTTCAGGTAGTAGCAGACATCATAGTTGTGATCAAAAAAATGTCTTGTGGACTCCATTTTTAACTGTAAATTTATGTCATAAACTGAATCAGGAATGTAGGGAAGCTTGCGGTGGGCAAGGCTTGAAAACTGAAAACCGGATAGGCCAAGCAAAAAGTGAATATGATGTACACTCTACTTTTGAGGGCGACAACAATGTTCTTATGCAACAGGTGCGGAATAGAATTATATTCGCTCTTTCTTTTTGCATATTTCACTGGTTCCCGCAGCCCTCCAGATAAAACTGTTGGGTGTCGGCTGGGTTGGTCGAGTTCAGCCCATGCTCGATTCGAGACGTGACGTTGTGACTTACCATAGAGGGATGTGGTTAAATGGTTAATGTCCACCTACTTATCACCAATTAGTTTTAAGTAGGATCAGAAACTATTCCAACTGAGTCTTGGTTGTTGATCCAGGTTAGCAAGGCGCTTCTTGCAGAATATGTCACATGCAAAAGGAAGGGCAAGGCATTTAAAGGATTGGGATTGGAACACATGAATGAACCTTGTCCTGTTATACCTTCTAAGCTTTCTAGTGATACCCTAGGGAGCATCCAATTCCAGGTAATCAAATTCTATTCTTATCCCCAGCTTTAGATAAAACTGCATATCTGTGTGGCTCATTTTTTTGTTCTCAGAATGACATATTTTGCCTGCGAGAGCGACACCTTCTGAATCTCTTTGCTGCTGAAGTTTCACAACACCAAGCGAGCGGTGAAGGCAAAGAAAATGCATTTTTGTTGGTAAGACACATTAATAATGTCACTCATAGTTTCATGTGTGTCAACAATGATGTTTTGATGTTTTTTCCTTTTCTTATCCAGAGTTACCAGCTGGCTGAAGACTTGGGTAGAGCCTTTGCAGACCGTACAATTTACCATACTTTTGTAAATGCTGAGCCTTCTGTAAACTCCGGTTCGCTAAAGGTACATATCACCTTAAACAACATGGTATTTCTGCTAATGAACACAATTTACAGTTAAAGAATGGTCTGCCCCAGAATTGTCTTGTGATATGGCTACCTATTTCCATGCAGAATATACTCAGTCTCGTAAGATCAATGTATGCTATGGCGATTTTGGACGAAGATGCTGCATTCCTGCGATATGGATGCTTAACGACAGATAATGCTGCTGCAGTTAGGAAAGAAATCGCGACGCTTTGCAGTGAACTAAGACCTCATGCTCTCGCCTTGGTCACTTCCTTTGGCATACCCGATGCTTTCTTGAGCCCCATCGCTTTCAATTGGATCGACTCAAACGCCTGGTCTTCCCTTTAGGATAACCTTTGTTAATGTCTATGATGTTTTTTGGTCATAAATATATGTATAAGATTCCAACTACAAAGTACATGTTCTAGTTAATAAATACGACCAAATGAATGCCATCAGTCTATGTTGCAAAATATGAGCTATATATATTACGCAAATACTTGTTCAGTTGTTCTACATTCCTATCTACATATTTCATGTGCATGTATATATATATATATAGATATAGATAGCGGCTTCCTTTAAAAGAACATATGAAGACCTTGATACAATAGTCGGGTGGGTTGAACTGTAAAACTCGAGTGTACCCGGGGTAGAACGTGATCAGAGTTTCGACATCTGGAATCTGGAAAGACTGCAACAGTACAAAGAGACGGAAAGGCGAAGAAATGCATTCAATGACTAAATAGCGCAGTTTTGGAAAGTAATGCATATATATACAATCGTTTTATATACGGAGATTCTCACCGTTGTCAATGCCAGCTAGCTTTTGCCTTGTTATCGATGCTATTGAAATTTAAAAAACTCTCCAGTCCTTGCTCCAGCTCAAGGACTCTATTTCTGAGGATCTCGACCTCTCTAGCTAGCTCTTCGTCCCGTTGTTTCATTGCCTAGCAATGGAAGAGGGAGTGAGTGGTTTCGAAAGGCAAGAGGAAATGACATATTTCTCCTAGTACAGAACCTTAATGCGTTCAAAATGCACATATTAATGTATTCCCGTTATTTCTTCACAATGGATAGACTATGTAAAACATGAAAAGACAATTACGAAGAAGGGTAATATGGACCTCGATTTCCTGCCTACGCAATCCCTCCTTCCTAGCTTCTGACCGGGCGCTTCTTTGCACCTCTAAGATGACAGCAACTCCTGCAACCTATTTAAACAAGATATCAAGAGATAGTATTGTCAGCATTCTTGATTTATACTAAAATAAAACAAGGGACAAGATAATCATGAAACCAACTAGAGAATGGACCGACAAGCGGGCTTACGAAAGCTTGGATGCCACCAACACCCAAAACCACAATAAAAGATTGAATCCAACCAATAAGCTAGTCTAACTCATGGCCTTATAAACCCCTATTTTATTAATGTGGGACTCTTAACACATCCCCTGCCATAACATTTAAGCCAGAGAAAGGATTTGGTTTCACTCACTAATTGGATAAACTCTAAATCTAGAGCGCAGTTTCAATTTATAGAAACAGGATTGAAGCGATATGCGACACTAGGTTCAAAAGAATATACACTAATTTTCATGAAACCAGCCCGCCCACAATTAGAGTAGGAATCGAGAAATCATCTCTACCGTAAATATAAACAGTTCCCCTAGAAGATCAGCAGCAAGTTGAACAGCCTTTTCTTCATTTAGAGGGCGAATCGCAACATCAATTGCACGTCCATAGATACGCCTTTGCAACTTCGTTGTGAATCTATGATTCGTCTGTGCAGCCAACAAAAAATATATATATATCAGTACACAAGTTTGTTCCCATTTTATCCGTGAAACGGGTCGGATCTTTGATTAACTATGTCAAAGATTTGATCCATTAATTAAAGATCCGAAGCGTCTCACACAAGTGTTACCCAATTCTATAACATTAAGCCTGGCCTGGAAACTGGCAAGAAAGAAAATAAGCATATTCTTCACTGCAAGATTACATTTTTATGAACTTAATCATAGTGTGGTGAAAAATGCAGGCCATTGAAAGCTTAAAGAAACTATTATCAATCTTTTAACAATTACTGTTGTATACAGCATACTGGAAGCTAACTCTACCTCCCCCACAAAACCCTTTTGGCAATTATTTTACAGTAAGCGATAAAAGGGTAAAAACATATTCAAACCCAATTACCCAAACATCATTTCAGTCAAAATAATTCAAACAAAACCAAAACAGCAGCAAATTCAAGAATAAAAATCTCAACTTTAAGAACACAGAAGAAAACCTGGGCAAGATTGATGATGAGTTGCCTGAACTCGGGATGAATGCCGGCCTCTTTCTTGAGGCGTTTGCCGATAGGTTTGCAGAATGTTTTGAGAGCAAGTGAACCCAGCTTCGCTAATGGCAATATCATTGCAAAAAGCTAATAGATATAACTCCAAAAATGTTATCTTTACTTACTACTAACCCAATTCTCAGCCGGAATTTCAAAGAAAAACTTCACTTCGTACTTCGTACACTATATGTGGATGCTTTTCTGGACAGGCAGTGAGGACTTGGGACGATAGTGGTGGTTCCGTGTTTGGCTTTCCGACAGTTTTCCTTGGCAGGGAAAATTGCAAAATGTAAAAAATATATATATAAAGTTATTATAAATGTAAAGGGTAATTCTTGGATTTCTTGGGTATTAATATCGAAATTAGCACAAGTTTTGGGCCCCTGTATAATTATTTGTGTGCGCTCCGGTATGTCACAATCTAGGGATGATAATGTCATAACTCAAAATGGGATAAGGTCCTTCATAATAAACTCAATTATTTCTACTTTTATATGAATATATGTTTCAAAAATTACACTCCAATTTCGAGAGTCCTTACCACTCTTAAATTTGACAAAGAAATATTGCGTACTTCATTTCTTGGCGACTACTATCAACCAAGTTGAATCAATTTATCAGCCAACAAAGTTAAGTTATCAACTTATTTTGAATGATCAATCAGTTAAACTTTGCTCATAAAGTGAAATCTGGCTTAGATTTCATATGTACTTTCGTTTAACTTCGTTTAACATCGCTTAAGACTATAACTATGTTTGGTAACATAGTTAGCTTATCAGTCAATTTTGACTTATTTGACCAGTATTAGTTGTTTGACTGGATTAAACAATCAATATGAGTGTTTGATTAATTAGCTTTTTATGACAACTTATTACTCCTAAATGTTAAAATTCAAAAAACAGCTCAAAACAACTTTTTGGGAATGTCATTTTTCATGTAATCAGCTGTCAACTAATGCTATCAACTAGTCAAAACCACTAACCCAATTAGCTAACAACTATTTATCAAACACCCCATATATTTTGATAGGGATTGAGTACAATCAGTAGTTCAGTACCGATGTGGATACAATGGATAGGGGTAATGATTGACACACTTGGCACACCTATAATGTAATATGTATAAAAACTCCTTCATTGTGATTGTGATGTGCAATTACATACAAATATTGAGATGGATATATTCAAATGGTGCATCACCTTTGGGCTATGTAAACGTGGCACGCAAAAAGAATATGATACCACAAAAGCACCTTTGTCCCCATATAGAATCTAATTCCGAATTGGTAACCCAGAACACAGCCCAAGAGTTAAGAAAAGCAAAGGTTTTGAATTACATATTCCACTGTTCATTATAGTTTCAGAAGGTAAACAAGTACGAGGAAGATCATACAATATTCTACAAAGAGTTTGATAATAAAGAAGCAGCTAAATATAAATGGAAATGACGATGAAAAGACAGAAATCTGATAGGCTTTCATCCTTGAGCCGATTCCTATAACACCAGATTAACAAAGCATGCTTCCTCTTCATCATCCATCACCTGGGGTTATTGCAGCAGATCAAAAGGAGCCCACCTGCTCAGAATCCTACTTTGAACTCACTTCTCCCTCTCACAGTGAAGGAATCTCTCCATTTTTGTTGTCGAGATTCATTGGCCTCCCAGAAGATGATTGTTCATCCTCGTTGTTGGCCGATGGAGCTTAGCAAGCTCCACCAACTTCTGCATATTGCTACAAATTAGTTCACTAGTATAACAAATTTCTTCAACTTCGGTGGGTATGCAACTACTTCATAATAATTCATAATTGAAGTATGTGCTCCATCTCAACTAAAAGCCTAAGCTGATAATTGGATTGCACATTAATGGTTATATGCTCAACACATATTACCTACATTATATGAGTCAGGTGTTTGGCTACGCGTCATGGGTCGGTGGTTAATAGAAGAAGAACAAGTTGGTTCCCCTATGGTGAAGGGAAGGCAGAACGAGGGAGAAGTTGGAGGAAGAAACTTCCCTTTGGATTTTATTCAGATAAAAATAAGGGTGAACAAGAAACCTAATGGTATTTGAATATCACAGGTGAATACTTTCGGAGATATGCCAGTGAATTCTTGGGACGAAAGCTCGGGGAATCAAGAATGGCAATACATCAACACTGAAGGTGCCATATTGTTGGGAGCCCAACATATCATTACTCAAAAAACCAGACATACCCATGGACCCCACCACAACGAGCATACTTACACCTTCTGTTAAGTTTGGATCTCAAAATCATTGGAGTGAGGATGAACTGAAATACAAGGTAAGGAAACTGGAAAAGGAAGGTCAAGCAGAGATATGGAAAGAGGTTGTCAAATAAATTTTTTTCCTTTTTTGGTTTTTAACAAAAATATGAAGGAAACTTTTACTTATGTACTAAGGGGTTCATTAAAAAACGGTTATTTATCTACACATTGACGTCCAAATCCTGAAATCCTCAATAACAAAGGATGAACAGAAAGAGCATCAACAGCAGCATTGATTCGATTATCAAAATTGCTGTGAAGTCATCATGAATATTTCCAGAATAAAAACTTCTTTTAGTTAGTATTGATCTCGTGACATCAGCCTCACCGCATTCTCCTAAATACCAACATAGTTATAACTTATATAAAACATAAAGGCCTTAAATAATAGTTTTCTGGGCATTGTAAGCAATATAGCAAAGAAACTCCATGTACCACCAAAGTTCCATTGACTCCTCAAACTCCAACATCTTAGTACAACAGTAACAACTAATGTACACTATCAATTAATCATAAACTCATTTGAAACAACACCAAACATGCACAGGCAAGTATAGTTACAATGATTTCCATGCATATCAGCTTCTTAATGCATCAGTTTTTAGAAAAAGATTCGATCTTTCACCCAAAGAAACCTTGTCGCATGCAGTAAAAATTCAGATTCAACATTGCCAAAAGTATAAAACTTCATGGGATGAAAGGGACACAAAGATGATGATATTTTGCTGCAAAAAAAATTAATTTCCATACAAGAGAACCGGAAAGCATACCATATGATGCTATCATCCACTTGATCTGGGCCGAGCCCCGCCGGAACGGGGACGGTTCATGAAGATCGCAGACTCAGCTTCACCGCCGACCATCGTTCTCTCATACCCGCCGCCCGATTTAGGCCTGCCGTTCTCCCCGTAAGCATTCGGCGACGACCCAATGTTTCCCGGACGATGCGGCCCGCCGCTGCCCCTTCCACCCGTCACGGGCTTCTCTTCGCGGCCCACAAATCCAGGTCTAAGATGAGGCGGCACGAACCGGTCAGACTTCGGCAACGGGGACTGCAAAGGCGAGGTGGAGGTCACCGGAGGCGAAGAAATATTCGGACCAGACCCCGTTCGTCCCTGGGGACGGAGAGAAATGGAGTCCGAGTCGGGGACGGATCGGGCTTTCTCCGGGGGCGGAGATGAAAACGACGTATCTGGGCCCTGAAACTTGATTGGATTGGTCTGGGGTTGAGGTATGGAGATGGGTTTGGGCGTGGGGCGGCTCAGGACAAGCATATGGCCATGGATTCGAGAGTTGGAAATAGCAGTCTTGTTGGAAGTCGGAGACGAAGAAGACGCAGAGTTGGGTCTATGGGCGGAGGTCGTTTTCTTTTCGTAGATGTCGTTGAAGTTAAGAGAGGTGTATTTATTGGTTCTTGCCATCCACCACCGTCGTTGCCGCCACCGCGTAATAGAGGAGGAATATGGAGGAGATAAAAATGGATCGCCGGAGTTTTGGGGAAAGAAGAAGACGACGAAGATTACGGTAGTAATAATAATACGGAGTAAATAATAATGAAATGCAAATGGGTTAACCCGATATAACCTTCAATTTTCTATTTGGGCTCAAATGGGCTTAAGATAATGGATTAATGCAAAGTTCTTTGGTTAAAACTAGTCTGGCCCTATTCAAGTAGGCCCAAACAAAAGTCTTATCAATTTGTCCCAAGTAATCAAGTATGGTGGTATGGGCAATTTATACGGAGTATTATCGAACAAGGTCCACATAGCATTATAGACTCTATATCGAAACGGCGGAGTACATAATTCATACTCGTAACGTACATAATTTCATAACATAAGACGCAAAAAATCATAACATAAAACACATACACATGTTATATATTTACTTATTTTTCAAATATGATTTAGGTACATAATTTGTGTTTATAAGCACGGAATTTCACAACATAAAACACAAAAATTCATAACATAAGACACAATTATTAATTTGATTCATGTACAAAATTTCATAACACAACACACACACACACAACCAAAACACATAATACATACACATGAACCAAGATCTATAATGCAGTGTGAACCCTGGTCTATGGTATAGGTTAGGGTGTTATGTATTTTTATTTTTATTTTTTTACTTCGGATAATAGTCAAATAAATTATTTAATTGGAAAATATAATTTGATTTAAAAAATGCAATTGAACTATTGTGCAATCAAAAATATTAAGGTGCATTAATTAACTAAAGAGATGAATACATATAACAGGGCGTTTGGTTGGAGGGAGGGAATTATGTGGAAAAGAAATTGTAATTCCATGGGAGTTGAATTACTGGAAATAAAGTGGGAATTTAAATTCCAGTGTTTGGTTGACAGGAATAGAATTACTGAGAATTTCAATTCCAATGTTTGGTATACATGGGAATTGAAAGGGAATAAGTAGTATAAAGTCAAAAATGTTCATTATTGTTGTTAGACATTAATTTTGGGTTAAAAAAGGAAGGGGTAATTTTGACTCATCACTATCTTTTTTCCCCAGGAATTAAAATACCAGGGGGACATGGGATTTTAATTCCATGAAAATGGGAGAATTGCAATTCCCTCCAACCAAACTACGGAATTTAATGGTCTTGGGAATTAGGTGGGAATTAAGTGGGAAGGAAATTTAAAATCCCTCCAACCAAATGCCCTGTAATTTCATAAAACAAGTGTGTTGGTGAGTCGGTGACTGTTGCACACAATTTAGCACGTTAACATTGCACCGGCAGCACCGCTAAGAGATTCGATTAAGGATGGAAATGGGGCAATGTAGGGAGTATACTCCCCGTTCATGTCCTCGTTCTAGTGACCCCGATGTTGTTCTCATTCCCGTTCTCGCGAGAAGTTAGACGGAGCGACAGAAAATTACACATATATTCCACATCATCGTTTTCGTTACTCGAAAATTTTTCCATCTTCATTTATGTCGAAGCTGAGAACGGGACAAATTGTCATCCCTAGATCCAATAACATTTTTTTGAAAGATAGATCCAATAACTTTATTTTTTGCTAATATGAAATATGTTTTTCATCAACCATGATTACACTATATGAAGAGGCAACCAAAGTTACAAATTTTGACAACCATAATACATGTCTCTTAACGAAAGAGCTCGACTAAAAAAATATTGATAAAAATGAAACTTATGACTTTATGAGGGAGTTATCTTTTTCAAACTTCATTATTAATTGTTTGTGATTTAACTTCTCCCAATTGTTTGTCATTTAACTCTATATGGGAAAAGTGATTGCAAGAAGATAAGTGGGTGCCTAACAAAACTATATACACTACAATGATAAACAACCAAAAGTAGTTGTTGTGTTCTTAGTTGAAACCTTGTTGTTCTTAGGTGGGTCTGTTCTGTGGTATATCTCACATGCCAAATAATGCCAGTCTGTCCATTATACATACACCACAGTTTTCATTTTATATATCATTAATAATATTTTGTCTGTGTGCTGTGTAGTGTGTAGTAGGTGACGCTGGAACTACAGCTAGACTTCAATGGATATACATTGTTTGGTACGTTAAGTCAATCATAATTTCAAATTTAATTATCAACTCTAGGTAGACCATTCTCCAAAAAAAAAAAAAAAAAAAAGTGTAAGCAACTAAGCATATTTTAAAATAAGAAAAAAATTACTTGTTCGATTATTATCGGTTCAGACTTCATACCAGGGCATAAATAAATAATGTCAATCTAATAAAATAAAATGAGTCAAGTACCTCGAGTCCCTACTTATTGTTGTTCAGAGTCTCAATTCTGACCTACCTCGTTTTACCTTTTGGACGTGGAGTTATTATAATCGTCTATATATATATATTGTTACTGATAAACATTTTCAATGAAAAAAATCATTCTATATCATAAACCTTATAAATTTATAATCTAATGCATAAGGCTGGCCTTATCCCAACAAAGATGTCACTTTCAAAGTGACATGGAAAAAAAAAAAAAAAAAAGTTGTAATGCTTACATGGCTAGCAACCTTGTTATTTTAGCAAGTTTGCTAATGACAACTTTTCCTGTTATTTGGTAGCAAAAACTGCGGTGCCCATACTTTTTTATATTTTTTATTAGTTATTTTATTATTATATTTATAACTAGTAAGTTATTCGTGCGTTGCACGGGTTAATTTTTTATTATATATTTAAATAATAAAATTAAAGTTGAAGATATAAATAATTATAATATATAAGATCAATGCAAAAGTATAAATAATATATGAATCGTTTGATTGCATTTATTTTAAAAAATTTGATATGTAATATGATTTATATAAATATATTATTATTATTATTATTATTATTATTAAAATAAATATGGGAAAAAGGTGAAATAATTTTAAAAAAATATTGATATGATTTTTTTATTATAAAGATAATTTTATTATCATTTAAGTATGTAGTCTTTAATTACTTTCATTTCACTTCCGGCCTTAATTTTTTATTTTCCATTATTAGCTTAATTATAATTATTTCCTTATTTTACTTGATTCCTTAATTTCATTTTTAGCTTAATTATAACTAATTCCTTAATTAGTATAATAATAAAAGGAAAGAAACCACTACCTAATAATAATATTATAGTACATTAAATTTATACTTTTTTATTAATTATTTTATTATTATTGTATTTATAATATAATAGGAAAGTAGCTAGATCACTTTTGAAATTGAAAAATATCGTAGAGATATAAAGAAAATAATTAAGGAATTATAATTTTAATAATGTGAAAGTGTGATTCATTTTTTAAATTTAGAAAGTATTACGAATAGTCTAAACAAGTAAACATGATCGAACTCACATTGTCACGTCCTTACAGCTAACTTGGAGGGCCCTTACATCCTCGGAAGGGCCAATAAAAGCTGAGAAATGTGTAGTGGACTAAGAGCATCCATATTGGTTGGGGATAATTGGGGGATAATGTAAGAGTGATTAGGAAAGAGAATGTGGGAGGGTAGAGAAAAAAAAAGAAAAAATAAAACAAAAAAAAAATAAAAATAAAAAAAATTAAAGTTATCAGACGCGTCAGGCGCGCCGACTGGCGCGCCTGACGCGCCACCGGGCACGTGCAGTGCACGCGCCCGGCCTTCCTCTTGGACTGCGCGATACGCGCAGTCCGTGCGTTAGATGCTTGCTTCACTTTTTTTTTTTTTTTTTTTTTTCCTGCCATTCTCCCTTCATTTGCAGGAGAACTATTTTGCTATTCTTTCCTCTCCACATCAATTATTCTTTTCAACATGAGAGAATTAATCTTACATTATCCCCATATTATTCATTGGTGTGGTTGCTCTAAGTGTCATACATTATTCATAAGGCAACTTGTCTAGGTTTGACTGTTTTAATGTTTACCATTCATTAATTAGTTGATTCAACTTAGATAATGGGTTTGCATTATTTGTATTATCCAGCAAATATTAAAAATTTTAAACCCATATATAATTTATTAATTAATTAGTGTCAGTCTATTGTTTCTCATAAAATATACTCCCTATAATTTTGTTCTGATTCAAATCCATTGCCAGCTCATTCCAACAAATTAATAAAGCGCATGCTCTTCCCATACATAGTTTATATATATCGTTCCTCTCTTCCTTCTCCTCCACCATCACCGCCGCCGCCACCGCGACCATCACCGCCGCCATTACCGCCGCCGGCACTCTCTAGTATAGGCCAAGAATGGCTAAAGCTGCTGTTTCTTTCATTGTTCTATCATTTTTGTTGGTGGGGTTGGCTGAGGTGAAAGCCCAAGCTCCGGCGCCGTCCCCCGGCGGGCCAGTGGACATCTTCGCCGTGTTGAAAAAGGCCGGCGGGCAATTTGGCATCTTCATCAAGTTCCTGAACACTACCCAAGTGGGGAACCAGGTCAACATCCAAGTCAACAGCCCCACTGATGGGATGACTGTGTTTGCCCCCACTGATAATGCCTTCAACAATCTCCCTTCCGGCACCCTCAACAAGCTCTCCGACCAGCAGAAAATCTTGCTCATTCAGTACCATGTTATCCCTAAATTCTACTCCTTTGAAGATCTTCAGACCGTCAGCAACCCCGTCAGAACTCAGGCTAACGGGCCAGATGGTAACATATTTATTCTGTGATAATGTTACTAAAAAGATTAAATCCAACCAATTAGCTAGTCTAACTCATAACCTTATAAACCATATGTTCTTTAACAGGAAAGACATACGGGCTGAACTTCACCGGCCAGAACAACCAAGTGAACGTGTCTTCCGGGGCGGTGGAGACTCAAGTTTATAACCCTTTGAGAAAAGACCCTCCGTTGGCTGTTTATCAGGTTGATAAGGTTTTGGTGCCGCTGGACTTCACTGCCGATCATCCGGCGGCGAAGGCTCCCACCGGATCCGCCTCATCTACGCCTGCCGGCAAGAGCAACGACGGGAAGAATGCGACGGCAGCCAAAGAGCCGTCTCCTGCTCCAAACGGTGCCGGAAAGATGAGCTTGGAGCTGGGTTTGGTTACTGGAATCTTGGTGTTTTGTATGGGATTGCTTTCTTGAGGAGATAAGATGGATATGCATGTACGTTATTGATTATTCTGTATGTTTGTTCTTGTAGAACATTATTTAATTTCATCATTGTTTTCTTTTTATCTATTCATCTTCTTCTTCCATAGCTCTTTTGTCTATACTCTCCCCAGTGGACCATATACTTTTGCATCTTCCATGCTTCTGATTTGATGGCGACTAACACAACGTTTTGTTCCATTCCTACAAACAAAATTTAAGGTGTTTTTGTTTCATGGGTTTTTATATAAAGAATAATAATCAAAATTATAATTAGTATGCAATACGTACAAAGCCCGAGGTACAGGCCCAGAATGATAGCCCAAATACAAAGAATAAGGCCCACATGGTAGGCTATAACTAACTATGCTAGTGGTAGGAATCGAACCCAGGTAGCTGGGTTGAAAGTATAGATCAAGACCACTAAACCGTAGTGCTTGTCGTGTCTGAGTTGCCCCTTGCTAAGGTTTCAGGATCCCTATTTATAGCATGGCTCCCCACACCTTTCCCTGTCCACGTGTCCCATGCAATCCATCCCCACTCCCCCATTTATCGCTACGCAAGCGGACACGTTCACCATACTTCCAGGACTCCCGCGCATACCACCCTGGTCCACCATGCTCGGCGTAGCCGCCCAGCACCCCCTCGGGAAGGGGGGGGGGGTGCCGTTGACAATCTGGGGGGCGCACTGCCCCCATTGGCCGCGCCTCGGCCTGAGGTGGCCGGCGGGACCCGTCGCCGGCGGGACCCGTCGCCGGCCGGCCAATGGCCGGCCATAGTCGGTGGTGGAGGCTGTCATGCCCGCATATATAGGTTATATATTATTGCCGCGCCTCAATAAACAATAGTTGATGTGGGCTGGTGGGATGGTGCACGACTATTGTGTTGGAGGGCGTGGGTTTGAACCCTGTTGACAGCGTTCATGCCATTTTACTCTGGTGCCACCTATCTGCCCCTTCCCTGGGCGCTGCCGGCACGACTGGTGGCGCACCGCCCCCGCTGGCCACTCCTTGCCGCCGGGGGTCCGGCCGGCCACCCCGCCGGTCGGTTCTTGCCCGGAAATGTCTTCTCTTTTTTTTTTTTGGGCCACCACGCCCCCTTGTCTTCTTAGCCCAATAGGACTTGGGTCAACCTCCTATCATCACCACCCCCACTTGGGTCAATACTATGCCAATAAAATGGACCCTTGGGTCCCATATCCCCATCAGATTTGATTATCTTTTAATTAAAAACTTTATTCTTTAATTAAAAATGGGTCGTATCATCCTATCATATCTTATTGGTAATTTGAATTTAAAGTTTGGATTAATATTTTTAGATTTTTGTTTTGATTTTTTTGTTCATGCTTTGGATGTCATTATATTAAGATTAATTATTTTGATTTGTTGTTTTTTATATTTTTAAAACATTTATTTTCAATTATAGGATTATACATAACTAAATTTCTCAACTACTAAAATATAAAGAACCAATAACATCTCCACTGAGGCTCAAACTCTTAATAACCTTCCAAATGGAAGTCCAACCTGGGTACCATTAGACCACATAGTCTTGGTTATTATGACATGTATTTAATTCCCTTTTTAATTATAATTCCCATGTGTGAGCAAAACACACCCTTATTGTGAAATAAGAGCTTATTACACTCTTAGCCATCCCCATTGACTTCTTCTCTTTAAAGTTTTTGAAGGGTTATTTTGTCAAAGGAAAAAAAAAAAAAAAAGCAGCTTGTTTGGGTTGTCGTCGATCACTTGGTAATCACCAAACTTTTCTCATTTGTCAAAGCTAACAAAAAAAAAAAAAATCAAAATTAAGTTGTACTACTATTATTTACGAGAAAAAGTTCACAATCACTATTCAAATGTATGTTATGAATGAAACATGTCTTGTAATACTAATCATAGTTGATGAACTCAAACTAAGAATGTCAATATACAGCTATCACTATTGTTGCTCTCATAGCAACTATATGGAATATGGCATTCAATAGAAATTAAAATTGAGTAAAACTAGTGTCATCTAGTCAAATAATTGAATTTTTTTCACTAGTAAGTTTAATTAGGACAATATTACCAATATTGGATATTGATGAAGCCCATTGCCAATTCGCAAGGCCAATTAGATGTCCATAAGGCATGCATACAGTAATAACTTCTGTCAATAGAATTCAATAGTCAATTACATTTAGGGCGTTGTAAACTTGAAAAATGACTTTTACAAAATATTTTTTAGGTTTCTAGTGTTTGGCAAGATGGGAAAAAATGAGGTCAATGAAAAATAATGCATTAGTCGAATAAAAATAGGTATATTTTGAAAAAGTCATTTTTTAAGGAATGCACATATAAAATATTTTGGGCATAATTTATGACAGGTCGGCCCGCCAAGCATGTGGCCTAGAGTTCATGTAACTATAGCCCACCCTACGCGAGTTGGTGGGTCCATCTTAAAAAAAAAAAAAAAAAATCAAAGTTCAAATATTAACATTGTGAATTTACAATCCAACTATAAAGTACAATAAAAATTAATATTAATTCAATGTTCAAACAAAATAAATAAAGTCTACAAAAAATATTATTTTTTGTATTTAAAATTTTAAAAAATAACATTTTTAAAATGTTATTATTATTATTATTATTATTATATATATATATATATATATATATATATATATATATATATAATGTTACACAGCAAGCCATCGTTCTGCCTTGCTGTGTAACATATATATGTACATTTATTTATTTTTATTAGGGCCTAGGTTACGGGTCTTAACGGGTCAGGCCCATTAGGCCTGCTATTTTGCAGGCCTTTTTTTTGGGTGGCTTTAACCTGCGAAATTTATAATATAGTATACGTTCAAAACGGATAATGAGTAAATGAGATATTGATTTTCAAAGTTGATCCATTTGAGTTGGAAAATGAAGTATATAATTCTGTTCATTTTCCAGAAAATGAACCGAACACAAAAAGACAGTTTTCGTTGTGCAGCCAAACACCGAAAAGAAAAATGCTTTCTGGAAAAAATGACTCATTTTTTATAAAATATTTTTCAAAAGTCATTCACTTTCCAAACGGAGCCTAAACTTCATATAGGGATCAAAGCTTGAATGGGAACTATTCCAAGAATAGTCTAAAAGTTTTTTTTTTTTTTTTAATTAAAAAAATTATATGTTAACAAAAATTTAAAATTATCATTTAATTATTTTAAATTAACTCATACAATCTTTTAACTTCATATATTAAGGTCTCTTGTTTTTATTTTGTCCGGAACTTATAAAATGATAAGACTGTCCTGTACTTTTTCATAAAATAAATTAATGTTTACTATATAGTTTATTAACATTTTTCTACCAGAATTAAAAACTAACATCGTAACCAAAGAGAATGTGATAATATCAGTAAAAACTAAAATTGTACTCCGTATGTAGTAAAATTAAAAATTTAAGGACTAAATAGGATAATATTACAATACTTTGGGTAAAAAGTGAAAATTCCCCTAACATTTCCGTGCAGAAATAGTGCATTTTTCGGATTTCGATTACAGTTTGGTCCGGTCCCAAGCACACGCCAATCTGATGTCATATGCATTCATATCCGTTGACGGGAACACGCGCCTCAACGCACATTGCATTGACGCACTTACCCGCTCAGTTGCAATAATTGAAACGGTTGGGCGTGCAGACACGCACACCGCTCGGTCGTGGGAAAACTGACGCCACTAGCCGCAGCCGCAGGTTAAACCTCGACCAAATCGCAAAACCCACGACGGCTCCGAAACCTGGTTACACTCCAAGAAGCCAACTTTGAACAGTGAGACACCAGATAATAGTTTTCTTTACTAAAATCACCCACATTTTTACATTTATCCATAGAAAATCCCTCAAGTTTCATATAACATGAACGGAATTTTCAAGAAAAAAAAAAAAAAAAAAAAAAAAGGGGAAAGAAAGATTAGTATAATCTCAGGAAAAAAAGCAAACTTTATTGTAGTTATATGAAGACTTTCCGGTATCGAAATTCGATAAAGCTTACTCGCCCAATTCGATTACATCTGGACGGGGAGAAAGAATTCATGATGGAAAATGTGAGTCAGTTATGAATGGGTTTATGAGAGTTTGTCTTTTGTAGCAAAGCCACGAAATCTGCGTAATATGCTCTCCTTTTCTCTTCACCAAACCCACAAACAGACCTTCTAATCTCTTTCACATTGCAGATTTTGAGTTTTAGTGAGAGAAAAGAGAGAATTTTTCTCTGTTCCAGAGTTTTTCTTGATTGACCCTAAGCTTAATTTGTGTTTTTGTAGCAATGGAGATTGGCAGTGGGAGTGGAAGTGGAAGTGGAAATGACAACCTGAAATGGAAGGCAACTTCTCAGATAGAAATACTGGAGACCATTTATGCTGGTTAGTCCATTTACTTCTTCTTCGTTATTGCCTTTCATTTCTCAGTAATTCCTGATTAGATTGTGGGATTGAATTACTATGGTTATGTGTTTTAGGGTTTAGGGTAGCATTTGATTGATTGATTTGGTGTGGATTTTGTCTGTGTGTGTAGTGGAACCTTTTCCATCACAAGAACTGATAGCAGAATTGTCTGCTAAGTTGGAGTTGAGTGATCAACAGCTGAGAGTTTGGTTCGAATACAAGAGGGAGAAAGACCAGAGGATAACCATTGGCGTACCACTGCAGAAGGGAGCTTCAACCATGCCGATGATTTTGTCGAATGCTGTTGGTGAAGTGTGGGGTGAGCCTGTTTTTGGCTCCCCATACGGTCTCCGAATGGTTCACCAACCTGGAGTGAGAGTGCCGAGCTATGGAAACGAAGGTCTGTCTACTAGGCAGTATGATCAGCTTCCATGGACCATCCTCCAACATTCGCGTGCTGTTGCAGCTGTGGAGGCACAGCTGCGGAGGCCTTTGATCGAGAATGGGCCTGTTCTTGGATTCAAGTTTGATCCCTTACCACCGGGTGCATTCCGCTCTCCAATTGGTAACCATATATGCTTCAATTCCTGTGTCGTTTGATAGAATGATGATAAGTAGTAAAGGCATGCCATGTGATTTTAATTCAATTATCATGTGTTGAGATTAACAAGAACAAGAAACAATAATAATGACAGAAAGTAAAGAATGCAAGATTTACGTGGTTCAGCAATGTGCCTACGTCCACTGGAGTGAAACTATTCTTTTATTACTAGCAAAGGTGATAGTGGTGATACAACACCTAGTGATACAACCAATAGACAAACTCAACATCATGAGTTGTGGTGTGCAGATTGGATCATTGGTTTACATTAGGTTTCAAGCCTGTTAGTGATCTTCATGTTCTTAGCATTCGTGCTCTAAATGAAACAAGTTCATCCTGCTCTCCATATCTGATTTGAAATTCATGTATATGTAAAACAAATTCATATTCTTGGTTGTCTTTGAGCTTTCTAACAATTTAATGGTCTTAATGATTTGCAAACCAGGTGAACAGTCTCCTAGGGCTGAACGACATGGTGGGCCAATCAAGGTTTGCTTGTTCATTTCTCCTTTGCGACATTCTCAGTGATCACGCCCAAAATTTGGCTCTAGTTAAGATTAATTATCACAAAGGAAAACGCTTTATAACTTGAAAAGGCTAATGTTATTATGCACTTTAGACATTGCATCCCATGTCTGTTTTTATACGCAACTTTTACTTAGGACATTAAAGAGGTTTTACATCTTACTTATAATGTTGTTTTGCTTCTTTTTGCCTTATTTGACTTGTTTGAGAAGTGTGGTTTTAATGAAAGAGTGGCACGACAGGGTGCAAACCAGACCTCCCTTCAATACCAATTTACTCAAGGAGAGCCATCGAGTGGAGCTGCTGCATATGGACCACGGGTCCCGCCTCGCTACAACACTTCACCTGCTGAAGCTCAGGGTACCGCGATTGCGTTATCTGGCGGGAACTCTTATGTTCATGGCACGCAGTTGCCAATTTCGGGTCTTCTGGGCCCACAAGGGAGACCATCCAACATATCTCGGTCTCTGGGAGTTCATGTTGTTCCTCAAAGTTCTTCGCGTTTGAACAGGAGAGTAGATGATAATTTCGGTGGCTGTTCAATCACTGGGGAGGAGAATCCATTAATGCCATCTGAGACACAAGCCATCCGTGATAACAGAATCTTGGCGAGAATCTGGAAGGTTCCCAAAGATCCAATATATTTTAAATCCTTATAACTCTTCGTTTTTCCTAGTCTGTGCCGGGACCAAATTGCCTTGTTACATTTCTTTTCTTAGTTCCATCAAGTCTGTCCTTGTTTTTCCAGATTTCCATTCAATCGCTTTTTTCCATTCAAAGAAAAAAAAACAAGTATGAAGTATGTTGGACTCATAAAACGTCATTTTCTATATCAGTATCTTATGTGAAAGATTGTCAGTACTTCCTTTCTTTAGACTGTTGTTTGCTCAAACAATTAACGAATCAAACGTTTTACGCTTTAGATCTGGGCTCAACCGTGGATTGATTCTGATAAGAATGTGACCAATCTTCTAATGGTAAGCCAACTTGTGTCTCTTCCCCTCGCCTCACTTCTATATTAAGCAGAATCTCGCGTTCACAAAACGCGATTATATGTTATATTTGTAGTACATTATGTCGCTTTGCTGAAGTGCGACATTTGCTTTAATTTTGTCATTGCGAATTGCACATTTGTTACACCTCCCAAATCAACCACTTTTTGGTACATAGTATTTTTCCCATTTACTGTATTTTTGGAAATCCTGGCATTAATTGCACGTGTTTTATCAAAGCTAGATTTATGTCTCCAAACAAAGTTACTGTATCATTGTGCCTACACTCTACAGTATTATAGGGATCGAGCGTTACTCTTTTGGGGAAGCTTACAGCTTTATTTGCTTTATCTTCAGGTCTGGAGATTCTTGATTTGCTTTGCAGATGCTCTATCTCTCTCGCCTTTCACCATAGACGAGTTTGTTCAAGCTCTCCAGGATTCTGTAAGTTCATACTACTTGCTTTCATCTGCTATGAAGTTGATCCATATCTCATTCAAATAATTTTTTTTCTACATTTAGGCTTCGGGATTACTGGGACAGGTACATATTATGCTTCTGAGATCCATAATAAAAGATATCGAAGTTGCTGGCAGGATTTTCGTTCATCTGTGTGAGGGTCGGTGGAGGCTTATTGATTCGTTCATCTAGCTTTTATGTACGTTAATCCTACATTGTGTGGTTGGCACTCTCGCTATTTCGACAAGATTTGTATAATTGGGTTTTAACGTGTGCAATATAGGTGCATGTTAAGTGATCTGGTGCGGTTTATCATTAATTGTTGTATATATTTGTCGTGCAATGTTCAATCCATACAGGACTTTGATGCTGTTATAGAATCTTTGGATGTCTGTGGAGTCCGAGAGCCCCAGCTGCAGCAAATTGAAGCTGCTTTCAAGGAAAATGTGAGGAAGTTGCGAAAGAATTCTGACAGGGATGTTGGGAATCATGTCAGAAACAGAGACACGAGGCCGAATCTATATGTCTCTACCTTTGACAGACCAGAAGCTTCAATTCAGATTCCTTTGCAATTCAGGTGGGAAGAAACATAGCAGAAAACGATGATGTTTTGAGGAGATATTCTGATTTTGAGAAGTGGATGTGGGATAATGAATGCCTCAATCGACTCCACATTACTGAGTGTGATGCAGTGGGGGGAAGGACGACGCAAAAAGCTGTTACATGTGTCTCGATAGATCTGTCTCTTTCGATCTGCTCCACTGTACAGATTGTATTTTTGTTCACTGTCATTTTTTTTTTTTTTAACTCATCAGATTATCTGATCTCTTCTCCCTGTATTGTTTGAGTGTGTGCAGATTCTGGGATTGTTGGATGGTGCCATTAAGAAGGACCTTTTAGCTTCTGAAGCATGTCGTGATGATCTCGAAGGCTTTGGCGGTGAGGCTCGTGGAAGTTGATGAATCCCTCCATTGCAGACTGCAGGAATTATTGAAGATGATTCTTGAATAGGAAGCAGGAATTTGATCTGTAATTGTTAGTGCAAATGGACCTCAGATCTGTAACAACATAACTATCTGAAATTCATGAAAGATAGATTACATTGCATGCAACTTGCACGTTTCTTGCATGAGAGCTGCACATACCATTTTCGACTTGTGATTGCGGATATTCCTGTAAATCAAAATAAAAGTAGCGACTGTAGACGTTATCATTAATCAATATAAAAACAAGTTGTCCGCATGAGCAGCTCAGTTGGTCACGTTAGTAAAGTGTGGAAACAATGACCTCGGATGGAGTCTCAGATCACCGGCCTCTGGCGACAGTGTAGAAGCAACTCTCAAAGTGAGGGGACTCCTAGCCTCTCATCCCAGATGCTCCGGCGACAGTGTAGGAGCAACCTCTCAAAGTGAGGGAGCTCCTAGCTTCTCATCCTAGATGCTCTATTAGGGCGAGGTGTGGGAGACCCTTAGGAATAGAGATTTAATCTTTTAGAGGAACAACAAAAATTAAAATAATAAGTTGCAAGAATATTTGGAAAGTGGGGAAAAAAAAGATGGGTTATAGTAAAGCAAACATGCTAGCGGATGTTACGCCACAAACGGGGGCAGATGTATGTCCTACCCACCAAACATTTGCAATTACTATACTATACACATATACATACATATATTTAATAATATTAGTTTAATTTGTCCCCTAAAGATTAGGCCATTAGTGAGTTAAATAGTTGTTATTATTTTGTGTAATTAGTCTTTAATACAAGAGTACAAATCATGTCTCTTGGATTGCAAGAGAATCTCAATTCAAAGAGTTTATGACAAGTTAACCATATTATGATGAAATGCAACAAATGTGGTGACTTTATTGGGAATTTGGTTCACTCAAATGATTTTGACAATTGTAGTGAACAATCTTTGTAGTCCATGTTAAGGGGAGTGACAATGGCATTTTGGCATTTCTGCGGGTGCAAACAATGTAACAAACACTACATGTGATGGTGGTCCATCTATCATAAATGAGATGGATAATTCTTTCTTCTTCCTTTTTTTTTTTTTGGGTGAGGAGGAAGTTGATTTTGAATTAGCCCCTTCCAATCGTCTTTCTACGACATGAAAGAAAAGATAGGCAATTTATCTTTTTAGAGCTATTACCCTTATATAAAAAAAAAAAAAAAAAAAAATCTTATGGTAGGCTCTATCCCCAGTAAGAAATATAATGAAATCATCTTTCCTATTCTTTTCCCGGACTCCGCTACTAAGAAGGATGCTCGCTTCTTAAAATATCCTATATATGTAGGTGGGAACAACGGAAGAGGTCAGATTTATCCCTACGGGAACAAGAGTTACAATACAGTTTATAATGCTACGGCAGCAGGTATAGTACATTAGTAATCAAAATCATATATACGAAAAGAAAAAATAACCATAACAGATGCATCAGATAGTCATCAAGTGGTTGATATTACCCCTCCAAAACCATAATTCTTGTTTCACATGATGAATCTATCAAATATGATCAACCTTTAATGAGTAACCCTAATGTGGGTGGATTTGGTCAGGGAGACGCAGAAATAGTACTTAATATCCATTACGTGTTCAAGGACTATTTGATGGTGTATATTGAATAATCCCTTTACAATTATTAATAGATATATTCTAGATTAACAAAGTCTATGATTTAATATCTATATTATGTTATTATTAAACAAATTATTTGGATAAGATCGTGTAAATACGTAGTAATTTTTTTATTATTATTATACTAATAGTCCATTTGTTATTGTGGCTAATTGTTTATAACTATGATGGTAGGCGAGCATATCTTACAAAATTTATGTCATAAAACTATTTATTATACTAATATTATTTTGTTTTATAGTTTTTTTTTTTTGATAAACTATAAAACAAAATAATATTAGTATAATAAATAGTTTTATAGTTAAAAGTAATACATTTGTTATTGACTGAGTTGTTAATGGCAAGGCTAGTCATGAGCCTAGTATAAAAGTTTATGTTAGTTAAAACACCTTTGAAAAATGTTTCTTAGGCTTTGAATACTTTTTGACTTGATAATAAATAAATGAAATTGGTTGGACGGCAGCATGCATTTAGGTTGCCAAATACTAAGGGGCATTTGGTTAAAACATGGCTTATGTAACATGGATTTTGTCTATTTATGATTTAGACTTTCTCTTTGCCTATTTATGATTTGTACTTAAAAAAGTCTGACTAAATTTTTTTTTTTTTTTTTTTTTTGGATCAAGAGGGAGGGATGACCTCGGAGGAAACTAGTGACTTCCTTTACATGACCAGGAAGCACGCAACCTATCATTCATGATGAAATCTTCCAAACCAGAAGGGCATCTGGCTAGCTCATTCCAATGCACGTTCATGGACACTCCCAGAGAAGCCATAGCATTTGCACTTTCATTCTGCTCTCGAACAATGCTCTTTAGGGACACTTTTCAGTTCTTTGTGAGCCATCCTCTAATCTTGTTTATTTGATCACTGATAGGACTCCTCAGCTCAGTTAAGAAAATCTGACCAAAAACTCTTTAACATGACATATCTTGTGCAGAAGTCAAATTCAAATCTTATAATTACATTAAGTTGTTGGGTTAATTGCATGAGTCATTGCATTCCCATTAGGCTTCACATGTAACAAGTCAGAGAATAGAAATTGGCACAACATAATAGCTAGCTGTCATCAAGATAAGAAAAAGAAGGCCATGTTCTTGACCAAGACATATGAAGATGCTTTTACTTCAAGCTATAAAGATTGTTGTTCCCTCTCTCTTTGGACAACCTCAAAGAAATCACATGCACCCCTCGCAACATTCCATAATGTCATGCCCCACAAATCTTTCAATCCCTCAATCTCCGCATATCATCACGCCCACAAAAAAGCAAAAGCAAAAACCCCATATCTCTCTCACTAATCTATCTATGCATATAAACTCATGCATCCCAACAAATCTGTGAAACAAATCACCATTGTTTTCTCTTTTCTCCGGCCACTTAGCTTCAACTCTGTTCTCCGCCATGGCTAATCTCGCCGGAGCTTTTGCTTTTCTAGTCTTGGCGGTCACTTCTTGTTTGTTCCAAACGGAAGCTACTAGACCCGGCCAATTCATCACCATTACTTCATCTCCGGCGCCGGCGCCTACCACCAGCGAAATAAGCTTCCCGCCGGCATCGTTGTCAACACCGGCTTCAGCCCCCGGACCCGCCATTGGCGACATTAGTTTCCCTTCCCCACCCGTGTCGGCTCCGGTTTCAGCGCCGGAAATTGCTTTTCCAGTGGACTCAGCACCCGCGCCTGGGCCGGCCATCGCCGACGACGTCTCGCCGTCGCCCATGGAAAGCGACACCGGGTACGGGCTTTATGGATTCCAGACGAAGGAGAATCCGTCCACCGAGACATTCCGCGAGTCCAGGACGACGGAGAATTCTTTCAACTACAATTTCAACAACAACGGCGGCTACTCTCAGAGGCATTTTGACAAACACAACGGCTACACCGTCCCCGAGGACAACGGCAAGTACTACAATAACCCCAACAATGGCTACTCCGATAGGTATTACAGCAAGGGCAACGGCTACAACATCCCCGAGAGACAGGGAATCAGCGACACCAAGTTCACGGAGACCGACAAGTACTACAATGACGTCAACGACAATAACCTCGACAACTACAACAACAACAATGGCGGCTACTCTCAAGGAGTGAGTGACACCAAGTACTACAATGACGTCAACAACAACAATGGCTACTCAGAGAAGTACAACTATAACAAGGGCAGCAATAATGGCGGCTACAACATGCCGGAGAGACAAGGACTGAGTGATACGAGGTTCATGGATAACGGCAAGTACTACTACGATGTTAACAATAACGAGAATAACCGTGAAAATGGGTATGAGCCGATGAAGGAGAATGAAGGGTACAATGGCAACTTCCAGTACGAGTTCGATTCCATGGAGGAATATGATAAACATCATGGATATCCAAGAACCCAAACCTGGGAAGATCAACCTTGAATTGCTCCGATCCAAGATTGATTTGTTTGATATGATAATGGTGGTTTGTGATGCATACTTGTATTCCATCTGAGTTTGGATTTGTGTTAGCCTTATTTGCTAATTAAGCAAACCGATGGGACAATTAATCATGTTATTTTAATTTGTCATGTTGGGGGTTTAGGTTTAATTTATTTACTGCTTGAGAATTAAAGTCGGTTGATGCCACTTGATAACAATGTTGAAGATTTTGATAATATTAAGTGATCATTTTATACAATATTATCATATTTTATTTTGCTTTATGTATATATTTATTGACACTTAATATCTTAAATTGATCGGATCTGCCGGTTGTGTTCTCATTAACCTAAATCTGAGATGATATTAATGATCACATATATGGTGAAATTATGCCACAAATACCTCAATTAGAACAGGAGTAAATGTTTGTGTTTACACTACATAAAGATAAATTGTGATATAAATATTGTAGATTTTTTTTTTGTGTGTGTGTACACAGAATTTGTACTGTCAGACACAATGACTAATCTCATTGCTGAATTGTAGGCATCTCTTTTAGGTGGAACAATTCAAAAGAGGTGCCTACAATTGTTCTCTTTTGGGTGGGACAATTCAAAAGAGGTATCTACAATTTTACTCCGTATATTTTGTTATTGATCAAAATACAATGAGAGCTAACATTGTAAGGGCAAATAGCAAGGTGACCAAGAAAAGTGCAACAATGTGTAGTTAGATAGTGTTGGTCATACCAGTATATAAGTACAATTAAGTAATGTAGAACATGAGACGAGAAAGTGTATAGATCCCCTGATGATGAAGGATAATGAGTTATTTGTAGGCATACGTTGTAAGGAAATAATCATACGAAAACATTATTTTTGGAAAAAATACAAGCATAAGTAACAAAAAAAGATTTTGGGTTTAAGATAAGAGCGTTGTAGCCTAGTTTTTTATAATAAAATGTATAATACTAAGACTTAATGTTTGAACACTCAAACAAATGAGCTCGGCGAATAAGAACAATGGATGAACGCATGAATGTTTTGGAGGAAGCTGAGCATAATTTTGAGAACTATAAATGTAGGATTTTGTTTTGTCTAACATTTGTTGCTCAACCATGCTTATATAAGAGATGAAAAACTAATAGCAATGATTATAATTTATAAGATATGTTATGGATGTAATTCAGGAGCGCAAATTATGCTGTCCACCATACACGGTTGCAAAAACGATGTCGTTTTGACTAAAAATACGCGTCCCACTTAAAAGAAAAAAATTCAAGTTCGATTTTCGGCAATAGCATTTTTTTGTGCATAATTTGAATTATATATTCACAATGAATGAACTAAATATCCATAGTGAATGAATAACTAAAAATCCAGAATGAATGAACTAAATATCCATAATGAATGAACTAAATATCCACAATAAATGAACTAAAAATCCAGAATGAATGAACAACATAATGCTATTGATGAGAATCGAAACTGAATTTTTTTTTTTAAATGGGACGCGCATTTTTAATCAAAACAACATCGTTTTGCAACCGTGTGCACCATAAAAATCTAGAATGATGAATGAACAACATAATGTTATTGAGAAGAATCAAAACTATTTTTTTTTTTAAATGAATCGCACGTTTTTAATTAAAACGACATCGTTTTGCAATCGTGTGCACCATTCATGGTGCACACGGTTGCACATCATAACTATTGAATTCAGGAGGGAAAAATTTATGAGCGGTAGTACACATTTTCCATATGCTAATGAACTAATCAAACATTGTACCATGGACAATTGTATTGTTCACTTTACAAAATGGACCATTAAAATAAGATTTGTTATTTTTAGTACATTAAATGTCTATTTTGTACAAAAAAAATTTATTTTTAAGTATATTATTAAAAAAATAAACTTTTAATATATTAAATATAGACAAATAATATTGTCTATATTAATATACTAAAAATAATATTGCCTCCAACAAAAGGTCAAGTGTTTAAAAAGAGGTGCCTACAATTTAGCGATGAGATTAGTCACTGTGTTTGACGGTAGAAACTTTGAATACACTCAAAAAATAAAGATTAAAAATTTATTGTGTAATAATAATAAAGGGTAAACCTATTAATACACACTTTTTTCCTTTTCCAAGCGAAATTGCATTGGAATTCTAATTTCAAGGGAATATGGGAGTTTCAATACAATGCGAGTTGAAATTCCTTTCAACTAAACAATGAAATTTTAGTTGTCCCGAAATTATAATTTGTAAAAGAATTAAATTGTTATTCATGTTGCGCTTTCGTACCTTTCGAAAGATGGCTGGAACAAGGCCTATCAGAAAAAAGGAATGGCAGACATCCTCATGATAGCAAGGTACTTTTTGTAGTAACGGCATGGTGGCTCTGGAGGTGGAGAAATGAAGCGATTTTCAATAACGCTAAGAAACCATTAAGCGTCAAGATTTCTTGGATCAAACCACAGTTATAAGAGATTAGTAAGGCCTTTCGAAGGGCGAAGGGTGTCTCCCCTATCCAAACCAGGCATCTTGGAAGCAGCTATGCTGGACCAAACCTCCGCAGGAGCTCGTGAGAGTTAATGTGGATGGCTCTGTAAATCCATCCACAGAAAAAGCTAGCTGTGGGGGTGTTATTAGAGATAGCTCTGGGGAATGACAGATGGACTGCACTTATAGCATTGACAATTGCTCACCATTAGAAGCTGACAATAGTTATGCTGTGCAACCGAATGTACCATGCGCATGGTGCATACGGTTCAAAACGACGTCGTTTTGACAAAAACGCGCGTCCCACTTTAAAAAAAAAAAATCAGGTTCGATTCTCAGCAATAGCATTATTGTGGATATATAGTTATGAATTTCTGGATATATAGTTATAAATTTGTGGATATATAGTTATGAATTTATGGATATTTAGTTCATTCATTGTGGATATTTAGTTCATTCATTGTAGATATATTTACTTCATTCATTCACTGTGGATATATAGTTATGAATTTATGGATATATAGTTATGAATTTCTGGATATATAGTTGTAAATTTATGGATATTTAGTTCATTCATTGTGGATATTTAGTTCAATCATATATTGTGGATATTTAGTTCATTCATTGTGGATTTTTACTTCATTCATTCATTCATTGTGGATTTTTACTTCATTCATTCATTCATTCATTGTGGATTCTTACTTCATTCATTCATTCATTGTGGATTTTTACTTCATTCATTCATTCATTGTGGATTTTTACTTCATTCATTCACTGTGGATATATAGTTATGAAATTGTGGATATATAGTTATGAATTTCTGGATATATAGTTATGAATTTCTGGATATATAAAAATGCTATTGCCGGGAATCGAACCTGATTTCTTCTTTAAGTGGGACGCGCGTTTTTTTTTAACCAAAACGGCGCCGTTTTGCAACCGTATGCACCTTGCAAGGTGCATTTGGTTGCACAGCATAATTTGCGAGAAGCTGAGGCCTGGGCCCTCTTGAAAGGTATCCAGTTAGCAACGTCAATGGGCTTTAGAATGACAGTGTTTGAAAGTGACGCAAAGGAAATCACAAGGTACATGAATGGAGCTGATAGACCGAGGATTGCGACTCATAATATCCTAGAGGCTTGTAAGAAGGAGCTACGAAACATGGAGATTTGGCATGTTGAACAAATAGTTCGGGATCAGAACCAAGTAGCAGATGCCCTGACGAAGATTTCTGCTCGCCACCCGCTCGGTCTGCATATTCTATGGAAGCCACCCGATGAAGTTCTAGGACTTAGAATGATGGTGTTGATGTGTCAAGATGGCATGGGATTCTTAGTCCTAGTTAAACTGATATATTTCCACCTGGGTTTCCCCATTCCACTACATATAAAAAAATTGTTATTCATGTATACCAAACACCTTATTTATGGACCATCATCCATAATATAATTCCTTATTTATGGACCATCATCCATAATATAATTTCTATATCCACTTTCCAAAAAAATTAAAAAATTCCATACCCTGATCTATAAGGCCCAGACTAGCGTTAGGCCCATTAGTCATTGCCATTCTCTAATAACAGAAAGCACATGATTGAAGACTAAAGAGAAGTAGCGAAGCAGAGAAAGGCGAAGAAAACCTTGCTTGGTGAGAACGAAAAGCTTGTAACTCTGTTTATAATTAGGGCTTGATACTTATGAATCGAAATTGATCGTAACTATTCGCAGCTCGAAACACCAAGCTATTGAATTTCCTTTTACCGGAGACTTCTGTCTGTCGCTAGGGTTTAGTTATCTCAGTAGCGATGACGCCGGATCCAAACAGTGCCGGGGCCGCCGGAGGTGATAAACCAGCTAGAGAGGAGGCCTCTGTCAAAGTCCCTGCCAAGGACCCTAAGAAGAAGGACGACAAGAAAGATGAAGATCTCGTAAGCATTTTTATCTACTACATGAAAATCTAGAATTGTGATAGAGTACTGTTACTTTCATTGTAAGAGTATAAAGATGCTGTCCTTCGCGTATTTTTTTTGTGGTCTTTTGAAAGATGGTGTTATTCATAGTCTTAAACTGTTATATTGATCAGAAAAGCTTACAAATTGTTGGTCTGGATGTTTTTTCTGCACTATTTATACCTCAATTTGGTAATTTAAGCATTAAAGTTGTATTGTTTACATTTATTTTAGTCCGAGGAGGATCTAGCACTCAAACAACAGTTGGAGTTGTACGTAGAGCGAGTTCAGGACCCTGAGACTGGGCTGCAGATGGCTGCCCTAGAGAGCATGAGGTATTCCCCTTAAATAGTTACTCTTGCATGAATATTGAAGTTTATTAACCAGTTGATTTGGGATAATTTTTGTATGGTGCAATACAAAATTTTGAGTCTTCATAGTAGTATTTTTAGTTCTTTGCTTTTAATAAGCTTGGAGAAAAGTTTTGTTAATTTTTCCTTGAGGTCTTCAAACAAGTGTATGCAGAGGAATACCTCTGATTAGGACTTAAGGGTTTTTCTTTCTCTCTTATATTTCTTTTTTCAACCAAAAAAGGTACAGTTTTTAAATGGCATTCTATAATTTCTTTATTCTTATTCTGGAATCAAAATGTACTTCTTTTCCCGAGAATATGAAAGAATTGTATTATACAAGAATGAATGTTCAATTAATCTACCTTGGTGCCTGAGAGAGGATGTATGGATGCTTTACACAAAAAGTCTAAACAGAAAAGATTTCTTGCTCTTCCAAAATAGATTTTCAATCTTCTGAGAGTGAATTGTATGTTGTATTGCAATTTTTCTCTGCTTTATCTCTGTAGACAATTGCATTCAAATGCTAATTTCCATTGCCTTCAGAGTTGTTACCTCTTGTCATTATCATGTGTACTTTGGGTATATCATATTCTGGAAACTGGCAACTCTCCACTGGTGGTTACCACATATATTAATGAATTATACATTACAACTAATAATAGATCGTGTCTAGAGTGCCCTTCTTGCGGATATTTGGATGCTCACTCTTATTCTAATAGCTATTGGTTTCAAGTTATTTTAGCATAATACTAATTTCATAATTGTAGGCAGGAAATTCGGTCAGCAACAAGCTCTATGACATCAGTTCCTAAGCCATTAAAGTTCTTGCGTCCTCATTATGGAACACTAAAGTTGCATTATGAGAAAATGCCAGATTCAGATACCAAGGTATGTAGTTGTTTGCAAGTTTCAAATTTGCACCTTTATGCTTTCACACTCAAATACATTGTAGTTTGAATTTTGCTTTTATTCTGTATGCAGAAACTACTAGCATATATACTTTCTGTTTTGGCATTGACAATGTCTGTTGAAGGAGAAAGGGTATGTTATTGTCATTTGAGGTTTTCATCTTCCATTGCTATTGCTCATATACAATTGTTGCTTCGTTATGTATACTGTATTCATGAATTTTTAAGCTATTATTTGGTTGGTTGTTTTTGAATATTATTCTTGTGAAAATCTCTTGCTGCATGTATGGTGTTATTAATTTTTAAATATTTTTCTTATAGGAGAGCTTGAAGTACAGACTACTTGGATGTGATGATGATATTGGTTCTTGGGGCCATGAATATGTAAGGTGAGCATTTTTATCTACTCAGCTGTCTCTTAACTGCGAATATGCTAAATCACTGTTGAAATGTAAGTCACATTTATTATTGTTTGTTAAATGAGTTAGACCTAGATTTCTAATACCTGGTGCTCCCTATAGCCGCTTACAAGAAGATATAAAATCAGTTTTCCAAAAGGAAATTGTGATAGTGAGATTAGTTAACTACTATAACTATTTTTAAAAAAATTCTGGTTTCTTTTGGCAGGAACTTGGCGGGAGAAATTGCTCAGGAGTATGTAAAACGACAGGTTATTTTCCATTTACTTTAGAGTTTGACTATTTCTAGTTCTTAGGAACAAACCATAAGATATTTTATAGAAGCATATCTGTTTCTGGAGGCAGAGACTGCAAAGCTGATCTCTGTTCTTTATAGAAATCCCTTTTGTTGTTAGAAGTCTTCATTAACTTGTGTGTTATTAGTTCTTACATTGTATGAAACTGCTTCAGGGTGAAGAGGCCCCAATCGATGATTTGATGGAGCTTGTGCAACAAATTGTTCATTTCCATATGAAGGTATGACTTGTTTGCAAATTACCTCTACTACTAGATAATTTATTTGTGTTCTTGTGCTTGCAAGTAGTGTTGTGTGTTGTTGCTAGTTACCCCGTCCTTTTTATCTGGGGAGTATATTTAGAATGAAATGACAGAATAATATGCTTTGTATTGCAGCATAATGCAGAACCTGAGGCAGTTGACCTTTTAATGGAGGTACTTATATTTGTTTTTTTCATTGTCTTATCATGGTTATATAGCTCAGTTCTAATTTGTTAATACATATATGATATACCATTCTAAATTCTTTCAGGTTGAAGATCTTGATCTTCTTCTTGAGTATGTAGAGCATGCAAATTATAAAAGGACATGCTCATACCTTCAGAGTGCAGCTAAGTAAGTTTGGTAGCTAAAACATTTATGGATGTAGCTTACAGCTAGTGGCACTATTATCTATCTTTTGACTGTATCATTATACAGAGTAGTAAACATTTTAGTCTTTTGCAATGTGCCAATGTATAATGGTCCTGTCATCTTTATTGTATCAATATATCAAGGACTCTGGATGGTACTCATGCTTACATCTGTTGTTTACAGTTATCTTCCAGGTCCAGATGACACCTTGGTACTAGACATTGCATACAATATTTATACGAAATTTGGAGAATATGCAAGTGCTCTTTTCATCGCACTACGCCTTGATAACACACAGGTACGCTATTACAACAGTTCAAATTATACTTCTGCATGCAGTAAATGGCTCAAATCACTGCATATTTTAAATAATAATAATAATATACTTGTCTCATCCCATTGATCCTGGTTTATACTTTGCAGTATGTGAAGCATGTTTTTAAAACTTGTGACAACCTTTTGCTGAAAAAGCAGTTCTGTTACATCCTTGCTCTCCATGTAAGTCCTCAACTTTCCTACTTCTATGTGAATGAAATCCCTTCATGGATGACATTATAGTTCTGTCTTGGTCATTGTAATTTATTTATCTTGAGTGCTTCTTAGATACTATTTCATCTTAATCTTTTTCTACAATAATATTACCCATATTCTTATGCTTATATTTAAAACTGTTACAATTCCAGTTTACCCCTATTTTCTGCTCATTTTTTTTGGTCTTTGTGACCTCATAGTTGGGGATTGAATATTCTATTAGGATTACTTTATCTTTATGGATTAGGGAGAGACTGAACCCATTTTAGGCTGTCTGAGTGTAATGGTAATCCATTTTTCTATAATGAAGAATCATACTTGCTATATTTACTGAACCTATGTTGTTTTGGGTGCAGCGTGTGACATTTGAGCTTGATGATGAGATGTGTTCAGGGGAAGAGAGAGAAGTATTGCAGGAAATTATTAACAATACTAAATTAAGTGAAGGCTATCTCGCACTTGGTCGTGACATTGAGGTGATGGAGCCCAAATCCCCCGAGGATATCTACAAGGTTTGATTTACATTGAAATAACACCTCTCCTTTATATTATGCTTAATTTAACATCTAGTATGCAATTATTATCCCTCTAAATTTTGGATAAATGGTTCTATGGGAACTGATGCACTCTTATGTTCCATACCTTTTTTTTTTTGGGTTCAATCCTTTAAATGCATCCTAGTTGTTTTCAAGATCTAAGATTTTTTTATTCTTCTCTGGATTCATCAGGCCCATTTGATTGAGGGCCGTGGCAGTTCAGGGGCAAGTGTTGACTCAGCAAGGCAAAACTTGGCTGCTACATTTGTTAATGCATTTGTCAATGCTGGATTTGGTCAGGTAATATGAGTTAAGCTGTATATGCTCACCTTTATTTGCATACATGGGTAAAATGGTAACCATTTTTAGGCTTGCAGGATAAGCTGATGACAGTTCCATCAGAGGCCTCGAGTGGTGGGTCCTCAACAAGTTGGCTTTTTAAAAATAAAGAACACGGCAAAGCCAGTGCTGCAGCAAGTCTGGTGAGTACTTTTGTCATTTTATTTCCATACGAGTGTTGTAGTGCTAATGCCTTCTCCCTGCATTTTAGGGTATGATCCTGCAATGGGATGTCGATAATGGACTTGCACAAATTGACAAGTACTTTCACAGTACTGACAATCATGTAATTGCGGGCGCTCTATTGGCTGTTGGGGTAGTAAACTGTTCTGTCAAGAATGAGTGTGATCCTGTAAGTCCTTTATGAATTTGCCTATTACTGGACTTATTTGGTTCTTATAAATATATATACTGTGATCTCATATTGTGTTGCATCACAGGCATTAGCACTCCTTGCTGAGTATATAGACAGAGATGATGCTTCGATTAGAATTGGTGCAATAATGGGGCTTGGACTTGCATATGCAGGTTCTCAGAATGAGGAGGTGTGATTTTCTGCATGTATTATTGTTGTTCATCTATAGCAGTATAGCACCATGGCTCTGTTATGACTTATGATTCTAAATTCAATTTTTCAGTGTGTCCTACAGGTTATCTACCTGGATAAGTATATGAGAATATTTCTTTTCTATATGCTTTTAGTTCTTTTCTTCTCCATATAACGTGCTATCTTTGTTTTTCAGATCAGTCAGAAACTCATCCCCATTTTTGAAGCAAAGCCTTCACTTGATGTGATTGCATTTACTGCAGTCTCATTGGGATTGGTGTTCGTGGGTTCATGTAATGAAGATATTGCCCAGGCAATTATTTTTGCATTGATGGATCGAAGTGAGTCAGAGCTGGGAGAACCTCTTGCCCGTTTCTTGGCTCTTGGTCTTGGCCTTCTTTTCCTTGGGAAGCAGGTAACTACAATTAACGATGTCCTTCAAGAAGAACTGAAATATTATCTCTCTTTTTTTTTTTTTTTTTTTTTTTTTTTTAATTTATTGTCTGCATGCATCTCCACTCTGCGTTGCAAGTCATTTGTTCATTGTGTTAACTACTGTATTTGTTGTCTTGTACACTTGATGCTTTTGGTATTTTGTTTTCTAACTGTTACTTTGTTCTCTTGTAATGTGTAATAGGATCGTGTTGAGGCCACACTTGAGGTTTCAAAGACTTTCAATGAAAAGATTAGTAAATATTGTGACATGACTCTACTTTCTTGTGCCTTTGCCGGAACTGGGAATGTTCTCAAGGTTGTCTTAATCTTAAAACCTACTAGTTGCATGTAAAATTGTTCAGTATAAACTTGCTAACAATTCTTTGTCACAGGTCCAACACTTTCTTGGTCAATGTGCTCAACATCACGAGAAGGGTGAAACCTACCAGGGACCTGCTGTTCTTGGAATAGCAATGGTAGCTATGGCTGAGGAATTGGGACTTGACATGGCCATAAGATCACTAGAACATCTTTTGCAGTATGGTGAACAGAATATCAGAAGGGCTGTTCCTTTGGCTTTAGGTCTCCTGTGCATATCAAATCCAAAGGTATATACTATATAACAACCCAGTTTGATTGAAACTTCTTGCACACTCTCTCCTCCCCTCCCCTCTACTTGTGTTAATAAAATACAAATTGTTTGTGTATCCCTTGATAACAAATGCTCCATATTTTTCATACTTGGTGTCTCAAACAGGTCAACGTTATGGACACATTAAGCAGGCTCAGTCATGATTCTGATGCAGAAGTAGCAATGGTATTTTTATAATATGAAAGAACTCTTAATCATAGTTTCGCAGTAGGTTTCTCTTCAACTTTAAAAACCTGTCTAAACTTCGAGTTATTTTCTCAATTCTACAGGCCGCAATTATTTCAATGGGGTTGATAGGTGCTGGAACTAACAATGCTAGAATAGCTGGGATGCTTCGTAATTTGTCCAGTTACTATTACAAGGAAGCCAACCTTCTTTTCTGTGTAAGGACAATATGCTCCTGTGGAAAAAAGTTCTTGTGTTTTTTTAGTGTCCTTTTCACTTTAGCTATTTGCTGTGTTACTTGTGCAGGTCCGAATCGCTCAAGGTCTTGTCCATCTAGGGAAAGGACTGTTAACCCTCTCACCTTACCATTCTGAACGGTTCTTATTATCTCCGTAAGAGTTCTATTCCCTCTTAAAAGTCATCTAATTCAAATGTTACCTTTGCTTGTGCAAATCAGTTTTCTTAGCTAGCAAAAGTATTCTACCCCACAAGCAATTTCACTTTATTTATCTCAATCTAAATTTTTGTTAATATATCTTGCATCCTCTTCAGGACTGCTTTGGCTGGGCTCATAACTATGCTGCATGCTTGTCTTGATATGAAAGCTATCATTTTGGGAAAATACCATTATGTGCTTTATTTCCTTACATTGGCAATGCAGGTAAGCTTTCTTGAGAACTGGATATGCCAACTTTTCTTTTTTTTGGTTATTTTTGTGGTTGACTCGTCAGCTCCTTGACTTGGTACTTTTGGATCACAGCCGAGGATGCTAATGACAGTAGACGAAAACTTGAAACCATTGTCTGTGCCTGTACGTGTTGGCCAAGCTGTTGACGTTGTTGGTCAAGCAGGTCGACCCAAGACAATCACGGGATTCCAAACCCACTCAACCCCTGTTCTCCTCTCTGCCGGTGATAGAGCAGAACTTGCCACTGAAAAGTAAGCTGCCTTCTTTAAACTCATGTTTGACGGTTTGATATTGCCTCTAATCAGTTCTGAGTATATTTTATGTAAGCTGATACAATATCCATTATTCATACACAGATATATCCCACTATCACCCGTTCTTGAAGGCTTTGTCATCTTAAAGGAGAACCCGGAGTACAGAGAAGACCATTAATGTCCATTGAACGAGTGCTTATAAAGTCTGAGAACTCCAAAAATGCTGGCCATGGCTGTCTTCTCCAGGATCAACCCACTGTCCAACGAGGTTGCATGGCAGTTTCAGATTTAAATGAACTTCTGAGAAGTTGGCATTCTAGACTGTCTGTTTTAATGTCTAATTACGTGTATACGAAGCAATGCAACAAAGCTATTAGAGAAGGCAGAGACGTACTTTTGAGTTTTGAATGGATTTTCTGACGATTGTTTTCGCACATTGAACGTTCTTTAATGTTTATCCATCATTCGTTGACTAATTTACATATACTCTTCGTTTTAAATTATTAGAATTCTACAATTATAAAATAAACATACTAAACTAAATAAGCCTAGTTAACAGAACTGAACTTTACTGTGGAGGAAATTCCAATCAAGCTAGTCACAGTTTGGTAATTACGAACTTCTGATTTTGATTTTCAATAGGAGTGGTTTATTGGCCTTTTGCTTTGAGCATAACTTAGATTGGTTTATGTCATTATATGGTTCTTTACTGGTTAGTTATATAATGTATACCTTTGAATAATGATTGCGAGATTCTTTGGTCATTAAAAAAGTTGGATTTACTTACAAGGTTTGAGTTTATCATATCTAGTGGTAAGTGTAACTCATTGTGAAAGTGATCTATTAACTGTATTGGTTTGATATATGACTTATTTACATGATACATCGTAATTGCTAACATAACAATTATCAAATTAAAAAATTATTTTTTAAAATTTATTATAATAATTTAAATAAAATAAACTTTAAAAACTAAAAAATCAACCCTCACCCCACGCCTTCCTCTCCAACAAGAGGAGAATAGCAATTACAGAGTAAATATATCACTTTTAGTTTAATTGTATGAATTTGTATATTTCTGAAATCCGATTGTAATTTTTTTTTAAAAAATATCAAATAGGCTTTTAAATTTTAGACAAAAAGAACACTTAGCACTTGTATTTTAAAAATGTACAATTAAGCACTCGAATTCTCATTTTGATGCATTTAAACTCAATAACCCGTTATCTACATAGAATAACCGATCATTAAGGTTCCGATGACAGGCAAACAATTGCCGATCGCCATTGCCATTGAAGAAGAAGGCTATATTGGAAAAGGTGACCGACCATTTATTTTTTGTTTTTTATTTTTTTTGTTTGGTTTTGGAACGGTGACAAGTTTTGTTTTTGTTTTGTTTTTTCGTCAACGGTAGTCAAAGGCGGTGAACGGTGGTCAATGATAGTTTGTCACGTTATTGTAATTTTACTCACAATTTATTAGTTATCGATAAACATGACTTATTTGTCTAATTTTGACAAATTTAAATATTTAATTGTACATTTTTAAAGTTTAAGTGCTTAATTGTTCTTTTGTATAAAATTTAATGATATATTTGACTTTTTATTTTTATTTTTTGAGTTAAATAGTCATTTTCTTTTTCGTTTAAAAAATTGAATACTCTGTATTATATTATGGTACCGAATATATAATTATTGGGTGAAGTGTCAAATAGCACCCTGAACCAACAACGAAATGTCATCCCGCACCCTAATCTTATATAAGTGATTATTTGATTCATAAACCAAAAAAAATTGTTCGCCTAGCCTTTTTAACAGGTTTCCCTGTTGCTTAGATGACGTGGCTCCGGTTAAAATCTGACGTGGAAATAAAAGGTACGAAATTCTCTTATTTGACGTTAAAATGTAACAGTTTCCTACGAATTTGGGTTATTTAAAAAATATTCATTTTCTGCATATCTCAAAAACGTATTGTAGACGAAGACGAAGACGACTGCCTGGGTTTTCCGTTTCCTCCGTCGGCGACGACCCAATTTCATTTCAGTTTCCATTCCCTCCGTCGAAGCCACACTCTCCAAGATGTCATCTTCCTCAACTTCATCACGGGTTAAAGTAAACATGGAGTATGAGCCTAGTGTTTATTGTAATTGTGGATTGAAAGCTCCAATGTGCACAAGTAGAGAATCGGGAAAGAAATTCTTTGGGTGTCAAAGATGGAAGGTATGTATTTATTGAAATTTTGTATGAATTTTGATTTTTCAATTGTATTAAAGTTAAAGCTAGGGTTCGTTTTTGGGGCATTTTAATTGGTTTTTTTATTGTGGTAATTTTTTACTTTTTTTATGGGTAATTTTGTTAATTGAGTTGTATGTATAGGATGGCAATGGTTGTGGCTTCTTCCTTTGGAATGATCATAGTGCAAGGAGGATTGAAGGTGAGCATGAAGATCTAAAGAAGATGGTGGTATCTTTGAGGAATGAAATCGAAGTTGTTAAAGAATTAATTGTAAATGAGTATTGTGGTATGAAAAAAGAAAAGGAAGTGTTGAGGATCAAGTGTGTTGTTCTCCTAATTGTAATTGTGGTGCTTCTAGCAAAACTTTGTAGTTAGAAATTGTAATGGTTTGGCATTGTAATGAAAAATTGATAGTTTGCAATTTAATATCCAGTTTGCACTTTCAATTTCCAGCTTGCATTGAATTCCAGTCTGCACTGTCATTGTTGCCATAATTGTTCAATGAAGCAATTTTTTATTTCTGCCATAATTGCAGAATTCCAGTCCAGCTTGCATTGAATTGTTGTCATATTTTCCAATCCATTTTAAATTTCTGCAATTTTGAATAGTTGCCATAATTGCTGAATTCCAGTCCATTCTATTCTTGGGCAAACTTGTTGATTTCCAGACCACAATCAGTAGTGCATAACATGTAAACCAATTGTAATCTTAAAGCAACTCAAACCACCTAAATTGGGGAACCAATACAGTAAACCAATACATGTAACCAAGCTGATGAAGCTGTCTTAAGCTCTAAAAGCAATCATGGGAGTACTGGTCTAGGAAGCTGTTGCTGAGACCAGTTCTGCCCAATTTTGCAGAATAATGTGATGATTTTAAGCTACTAAGTGGATATGAAATACCATCAAGATTATGTAGTCTAATGGTACTCGAGTTGGACTTCCATTTGGAAAGTTATGAGTTCGAGCCTCAGTGAAGGTGTTATATATCCATTTAGTAGCTTCTTGCTAGTTTTAAGCTTCTAAGCAATACACAATCTGTAAGCTTCTAAGCAATACACAATCTGTAAGCTTCTAAGCAATACACAACAATTATTGCAGACTAATTCAAATTGTCTGCTTAGTCCTCTGCAAGCACCTTGAGGGTGGTTAAAGCTAAGAGACACCTTATATCACCCCAGTCTGCTTAGTCCTCTGCAAGCACCTTGAGGGTGGTTAAAGCTAAGAGACACCTTATATCACCCCATGATGCATATGGCCAGTATGCTGAGGGTGATAAAAGGAGTTCCTATTGCCAGTATGAAATAAGTTCGGGGGAACTAGTCCATGAAGTCGATTTAGCTGAGACTTGTTCTGCCCAATTGAGAAATGAATGAATACCCAATGATGGATTGTTTGCTGGACAATCTCTGAGGGTCTACAGCTTGTTGTGGTACTGGCAGCAGGGATGAGGCTCTATTGAGCTGACCTGCTGTGCAGATATTTGTTTGGTGGATCTACAACTTTAGAGATGAAGCCATTTCTTGCAGGTTGATGCAGATGAGATTGATGTTTAAAAAAAAATACAGTAAACCAATACAAAATTCAGTTTTCTGGCTAATACAGTAAACCAATACAAAACATCAGTAAGCCATAAACAAGTGAATAAGCATTATGTTGCCAAAAGTTACTGCCAAACAAGTGCCAAAAATCATTAAGCATTAAGGCAATAAGCCATATGTACATAAGTCATACTACATTGTACATTACACAAGTGAATAAGTCAGATTTACATAGAATACATAAGCCAAAACAGTCATAACAGTCATTCAGGTTTATGTTGCCAAAAGTCACTGCCAAAACAGTCAATCACCAGCTTGTCCTTGTTGGGTAGGACAATATCTTTTGTTGTGCCCCTTCCCCTTGCATAGCTGACAGGTCATTACCCTTCCCTTCCTTGACAACTTTCTAACCTCTTCACTTATTTTGTTTTTATCCTTGTTCTTTTCATCATGTTCAAGCTTTCTTTTTTTCTTGGGTCTGCCGGTCATCTTCCTTGGAACTGGAGCATGTAACTCACCACCTTCAGCCCTTGGCCAAAATTGTTCTCCATTTATGGGCTGTAGTACATGCTCATAGGTCTTCATGTACATCTCTTTACTGTAACATATATGTATGTACTGATCTGGCTGATCCCCCTTGTGAAATATTGCACAAATGGAATGAGGACATGGCAAACCAGTTAATTGCCACATTCTACAAGAACAAGTCCTCAAATCTAAATTGACCTTGAATTGAAACCTTCCCTTTTTCACCTCATATCCATCAACTCCATTGAAAACCACCTCCCAATCTTTACTCCCAATAATGTTTTCATTCAACTTCTTCATAATAATAGTGCCATAATTCCCATTCCATCTTTCACCAAGTGCTTTCTTCTTTGCAACCCTCTTCATCATTGCAACTCTTATGTCCTCTAGCATTGGAATGATATTCTTACTCCTTGCATCCAACAATGTCTTATTGAATGCTTCACTCAAATTATTGTCTGTCATGTCACATCGCACTTCCTCTTTGAAAAAAGCTTTGCACCAAAATTTCATAGGATACTTATTGAGATCATGAAGAGCTGCAGCATCTACCTTCTGTAAAGCTTTTACCTTATCTGTAAGTAGTGCTTGATTAGGGGTCTTTGCAATCTGCCAAAACAGTCCCTTTAGAACCATCCCTCTGTGAGTCTTACTCCAATTGGCATGGACATGCCTAGCACAATTTCTGTGCTCAACACCAGGGAATAGTTCCTGAATTACAGTAGATAACCCCTGTAGAAACAAGAAACAGATTATAGTAAACAGAAACACAAACAGATTATAGAAAACAGAAACAGAAACATATTGAATGTAGAAACAGATTTACCTTCTGTTGATCACTCATTAAAGTCCATTGAGTGCTGTCCTCAATCTCCAAGTCAGTCTTCAAAAGATTCAAAAACCAGCTCCATGACGAGTTATTCTCAATCTCTACCACAGCCCAGGCAATTGGGTACATTTGATTGTTCCCATCTCTGCCCACAGCTGAGAGGATCTCACCTTTCAATTTACCTTTCAGAAAGCAGCCATCTAGACCAATAAACTTCCTACAACCCCCTAGAAAACCCTTCTTCATTGCATTAAAACACACATATATCCTCTGAAATACCAAGGGTGAATTAGGAACAGTGCTAGTTGTGTGAATCTTCACAGTAGAGCCTGGGTTAGAATTCAAGCATTCTTGTGCATAATCCCTAATCCTTTTGAACTGGCTCTCATACCCTATGTCAAGCTTCTTCAGAATCCCAGTAATTGCCCTTCTGCACATACTAACAGTGACATTGAGGTTCAACTCAGACTTTATATCTTTGCTCAACTCAGAATACCCAATAGTTGGATTCTGCCTAACCTTGTCTTCATATTTCCATTCTAACCATTTTTTACTAACAATGCCTAAGGTGAATTGACTGTTGCATTTATGATCTAAATGAATAGCTTTCAATTGAAAACACTTTGTTCTTTCCTCCCACCCTGCACTCACATGAAATCCACACCCCTTTCCAAGACATTCCACTCTAACATACTTTAAACCATTCTTCTTCCAAAATAAATCCCTCTTGGTGTGTATAGCATAACTTATCATGGCAAGTTTGAACTGCACATTATCATCAAAATACATGCCTAATTCAAGAAAGGGTGGATCAGATTTAGAGTTATATTTAGGGTACTTATCATTGTACCTTGATTGAACCTCATTCCCATCCTCATTCTCCAAGTCTTCTTCAACAGTTGGTGGATTTTGTGAATCATAGTACACAGAATCTGCCTCATCTACTAAAGGATTTTCAGATGTGGGCACAGATTGTGGTATAGGTTCAGCTTGTACTCCTATTTTCCTTTTCCTCTTAGTCCTATTTGTAGTCTCCTCACCTTCACTGTCACTACTTATATGCTCACTGCCACTATAATCAGCATCTACTTCACTCCCTTCTTCCTCACCCTCACTGCCACCATGCTCATCTTCTGAAGTTTCTGCCCCCCCTTCCTCACCCAATACTTCATCTTCTACCCCTAATCTCTCACCCAATATATCAGCTTCTGCCACCTCTTCCTCACCCACTAATCCAGCTTCATTCCCATCATCCTTAGGCCCAGGCAAACATAAACCAACCACCTCAGGCTCATCTACCCCATGCTCAACATATATCTCACACTTTTGATTTTCACGAGCAATCTTAGCTAAATGTAGACTACTAGCATCATTATGTAAGAGTTTTAAAGCTGTAAAGGGTTCAGAGGTCAACTTATAGGTAAGTGAAACTATTTTCCCATATCTTTGGGCTGATATATATTTCATTAAGTGGGGATAACATATTAAGTCAGGGTCCACATCCAGTACCTCTGTTTCACCATTCAAATATTTTAACGCAGGGGATTTGACAAAATTACCACCATGATGAATTATTAAATCCACCCTATTAGTCATCCTGACACAAAAAAATACAATGCACATTTTAACATTAAAGCAACATCATGCAGTTTATACAGAGCAGCAAACTAGAGCAGCAACATCATATAGTATATATAAAGCACATTTCTACACTTAACAAAGTAGAGCAGCAAGACCAAAAAAACAGCCTAACTGGAGCAGGACCACAGTATATACAGACAAAAACAACTTAAACCCAGGACCCCACTGCATCACAATCAATACAAAATTAAACAAAAGCTAAAGCAGTAGGTCCCCACTACATTTAAAGACAGTATATTCAATTTAAACATATATAGGATTTAAACATATTCAATCCCCACTACGAAAAGCTAAACATATATTCAATTTATAGACAATATAGCATGACCCCACTACATCACAATCGATACAAAATTACATATTAAAAGCATATATTCGCAAGGATACTCAGATATTATTCTACATACCTTACTCGGTTTGAGGTTTGAGCCTTCTTTCCAGTCTTCTTTCCAGTCTTTTCGGTTTAGGGATTTAGGGTTTCGAACTACAATTACAGATTAGGGCTTAGGGCTTAAGCTAGAGATTAGGGATGGGTTTGAGATTATGGATTTGGGAATGAGATTCTTCAAGTCGCGATAGGGATTTGGGATTTAGGTTTCTTCAAACTTTGATAGGGATTTGATTTGAAATACGCAGAAATTAGAGTTGATTTCGAAGTTGTTATTACAGTAAATAGTTAATGGATGCCACATCTACAAAACATGACACGTCGCAGCCAAGTCATTGCCACATCACCAACTTATAACCTTTAACTTGAAGGTTACCTGTTAAAAAGGCTAGGCGAACAATTTTTTTTGGTTTATGAATCAAATAATCACTTATATAAGATTAGGGTGCGGGATGACATTTCGTTGTTGGTTCAGGGTGCTATTTGACACTTCACCCATAATTATTAAACTAAAGTTTATTACCGAAATGGTCCCTCGACTATTGCGAAATTACCAATTTGGTCCTCAACAATTTTTGTTCCCCAATTAAGTCCTCTGACTTTGAAAAAGTTAACCATTTTGGTCTTCCGTTAGGTCACGAGTTAAAAGTCTGTTAAATTAAAGGGCATTGATGAAATTTCACATTTATCACCATTATAAATCAGATTGGACGTCGGAAGTACCTACGTAAATTATTCAACTTTCCTTTTGGCCATTGATGTGTGAGATTGGAGAAAGAAGGAACAGTTAAATGTTATTAAAAAAAAAAAAAAAAACAGACCTCCTACCTTAACAAGCAGGGATTTCATGGCTGAAGATGGTTCAGTGGTGTGTTGTGATGATAATGTTGCGTTTTGTGCAGATAGAACTCTTTCGGTTTGTCAGACTCATTAGTTTTCTAAACAATGGCGTCGGATTCCGCCTCTACGAGGACGACGCCACTGGCGTTGCAGTTGAGCGCGAGGGCTGACCCGCCTCCGCCGGCGGCATTGGTCCAGCTCAGGCGACCGAGATAGGGGTAAAAATGCATCAGGACTTAGCTGAGAGAGAGTCGTAAGGAGAGGATAATGGCGTCTGGGGATAATGTGGAAGGAGTAGTGTAGAAATAGATGGTTCCAACATGTAATTTCTGTATCTTTTTGTTCTGTTGCAGTAAACGTCTTTCATCATATGAGTTTTTGCTCTTTGTCTTCCCAAAACAAGGGAACGCTGGAGATATGCCCAATGTGAGTAGGAAAAATAGAAGAAATCTCCGCCTCAAGTTCTCCTCAGAATGCAATACCGTCTTATTCTGTTCTCTAACCACAAAAAATGTATTTTATAAACTATTAAATAATGAATTCATGGCAATCCAAAGAAAGAAAAGGGCAAAATTGCAAAAGTCATTGTTCACAAACTAATCAAAAGCTACCTGTTAACTCATAATGTGTCATTAATATAGCACCCACAATGTAATCTATTCCAAGCACTAGACTACACTAAACATTAGTTTTCTGGTACGATGAGAGGTAGATGAGCGTGAATCAGAAAGACAAAGGCAGAAACCATGAATATTGAAATGGGTCTTCTACTCTTCTCAGATTAAAATGGGTCTTCTCATATTAAAATGGGTTAATCAATTAAAAAATGGACATTCTCATGCGAAATTTCATTAATGCCCTCTAATTTAACGGACTTTTAACCTCTAACCTAACGGAGGACCAAAATGATTAACTTTTTAAAAGTCAAAAGACTTAATTGAAAAAGAAAAATTGTTAAAGATCAAATTGGTAATTTCGCAATAGTCGAGGGACCATTTCAGTAATAAACTCATTAAACTAATTACTCCGCAGTTTACACACAAACCGAACCGGGCTATACCTCTCTGCTTCTGTGTAGGGTTTCTCTGGACCGTCTCGTCTCTCTTTTCTCTGTGGCATTCATCTCCTCGGTCGAAGGTAGACGGAATGGTGAAGGTGAAGGTGATATCGCGTTCGACGGATGACTTCACCCGAGAACGCAGTCAGGACCTTCAGGTATGCTCTATTTTATTACATATTTGCTACCACCTCCATTACTGCTTCATGAGCTACGGCTTAGCTTCGAATTCGAATGTTTTCAGAGGGTATTTCGAAACTTCGATCCCAAACTTCGAACTCAAGAGAAGGCGACGGAATACGTCCGTGCTTTGAACGCTGTTAAGTTAGAGAAGGTAAGTACGCCTTAAAAATTCTTTTTTTGGGTTTTTTGTTTTGTTTTGTTTTGCTAAGTTTGTGATGTTTTTCACTGTTATGTGGAATCAGATATTTGCGAGGCCATTCGTTGCGGCTATGGATGGGCATATAGATGCAATCTCGGCAATGGCTAAAAATCCAAATCACTTGAAAGGAATATTTTCGGGTTCAATGGATGGAGGTATTAAGGAGTGGATAGGTTGCAGGCTTTTTGTTTGTTTTATGAATGTGGTTTTCTATTTGGAACTTCAATCTTCAATAGTAAGAAAAAGTAAATTTTTAGTTTCACCTGTAAATATGCCATTACTAGGAATGGCTTAATGCAAGTTAATAACTAAACCCAACTAACCTTTTCTATCTTTTAAATGTCATGTGGCAACAAACTATAAATATTGGAGCATTTTTATGTATTTTTTATTATTATAATTTGGGGAATTTGACTCTGTTTGCAGATATTCGCCTTTGGGATATAGCTAACAGGTAATGTTCCCATTCAAATAGTTTCTACTTAATCTTTGCTAGGGAGAATGCTTCACTTCATATAATTGAGTAATACAGTTCCCTAGCGCATAGATATCAGGTTAGCAATATGTGGTAATATATTATACCTTATCGGAGAAATTTCCTTTTCCCTGTTTGCTTTTTACTCCTAGACTTGATCTTGAGTCTTGTTGTACCTCATCTACCCTCTATTCAGGAGAATTTCCATTGATTGAACTGTTGTATTCCCCTATTTATCATTTTTACTTGATAATATCATTTCCCTGTTTGCATGCTAGTAACTTTTTATTATGCACACAATAATGGGGCTATTCGTTTTAACACCGTCTTTCTAAATATAAATATTAAAAGGAAAACAGTATGTCAGTTTCCTGGTCACCAAGGTGCAGTGCATGGATTGGCAGCGTCTACAGATGGTCGAATTCTTGTGTCATGTGGAACTGATTGCACGTAAGTCCTTACAATTTCTCTTATATGTAAAGGTTTGAATTTTGTTTGTGAAGAATGGATTATGATGGAAGTCTTGCTGCTGCATATTTTGGACAATTTTATTATAGTGTGAGGCTATGGAGAGTTCCTGATTCTTCTTTAATGGAGCCTGATGATGCATCTGATGACTCAGCCAAGGTATTAGACTTCTCCTGAATTGCTGTTGACTTAAATGCGTGCAAATGACATACATACATGATTTTCTAATGATCTGAGTTTTGCTTATTTGCAGTCATTAGCAGTTTATGTCTGGAAAAATGGATTCCGGTAGGTTTTATTTTATTTTGCCTGGACATTTGTTGTTGTTGTTGTTGTTGTTTTTTTTTTTTTTTACTTCTAATTCTGATGATATGCTTATTTTCCCCAGGGCTGTTGACCACCAATGGGATGGTAACCTTTTTGCAACAGCTGGTGCCCAAGTAGACATATGGGACCACAACAGGTCTGATTCGATTTTTTCTTTGTTTAACACGAGTTTGAACTTTTTATTTAATTAATTTTTAAATTTTTAAGTGTCTCTTTGATACAGGTCCCAGCCAGTGAACAGTTTTGAATGGGGAAAAGATACTGTAATATCAGTTCGATTTAATCCTGGTGAACCTGATATTTTGGCTACATCAGCTAGGTTTGTGTCTATCCAGAATAGTTAGTTTACTCTTTAATTACTGTAAATTCCCATCATGTTAATGTTGTATTAAGCCTTTGCCTGTGGTACTTGAACCCAGAATGGGAAATTAGTATTTACTTTTTTTTTTAAAAAAAATCAATGATTTATATTGTGTATGAGATGATGCTTTACTTCTACTTCCAAATTATAACTGTATAACTGTATTACTGCCCATTAATCTGCATTTACTTATTCTTGTAGTTTTTTCTCCTTGCAGTGATAGAAGCATAGCTATATATGATTTACGAATGTCATCTCCTGCAAGAAAGATTATTATGAGGGTAAGCAGCTAGACTGTCTCTGTAACATTAATTACAAAGATTAGTTCTAATTTATAAGTTAGTTAAAATATTCTACTCATGGCATCATGCAAATTCCAGGCCTGCATTCTTTGCCATCGACATGTAGTGCTTATTTAATGAATCTGACATGATGTCTCCTTTACAGACCAGAACCAACTCAATCGCCTGGAATCCCATGGAACCAATGAATTTCACTGCTGTAAGTGTGACTGCAAATCACTTTCTTGAAATTTCATTTATACTTCTGTTGATGGAATGATAATAGTGCAAAACTTGGTAGTTTCCTTGACAAAAAGAAGCCCTTTGCAAATTGTTGTCAACTTATTTTTCTAGTTTTACGCTCAATTTTTAGTCATCAGTTGGACATACTTCCAAATGTTAAGTGCTTTTGTGAGCATTAGGACTATTTGGTATGCCTTATAAAGTGTTGAGAAGGAACTGAATGATATCCTGTATTTATTACTCACACATGACCAACTACTGAGAAGTGGTCTGTGCATATAGTTGATACTTTTGGGTGTTTGGCATGGTCATTGGTAGATATTTCTTAGTACTTCTATTTAATTCTTTATTTCTTATAAGGACATATATCTCATATTTGTAGGCAAATGAGGATTGTAACTGCTACAGCTATGATGCTAGAAAACTAAATGAAGCTAAATGTGTTCACAAGGATCATGTTTCCGCAGTGTAAGAGAATGTCTTGTTATTTGCAAAAGAGTAGAGTGGTTGCTCCCACTATTTGAGTTCTAGCTTATTTATTACTTAATTCGAATTGAATGATTTTTTACACTCATGATCATTTTGCAGGATGGATATAGACTATTCACCAACTGGTCGTGAATTCGTTACTGGATCTTACGATAGAACAGTTTGTGTTCTCTCTTTTTCTTGAATCATTTGACATAGTCTCACCATGTATAAATGCACATATATAGAATAAGATGGCTTCCATACACTAACCATACTTCATTGGTAGGTGAGAATATTCCATTATAATGGTGGTCACAGTAGGGAAATCTATCATACAAAGAGGATGCAAAGGTTGTTTGGAACTATATCTATTCTTTACATCCATGTTTTATTTTTAATGTTGTAGGTTAGCGATTTTTTTTTTCTCTCTTTTAAATTGATTTAAATACGGAGTAATCATTGGTCATATCTGACAAAACATGGAAAATGAGGCTAAGAATTCAGTTGAGTTGGAGCCATGTCTGTGTAGTTTGCAATTCTCCTCTACTAAGAAGTGTCCTGACCTTTATCTGTGGTGAATCACAGGGTGTTCTGTGTGAAGTTCAGTTGCGATGCAAGTTACCTTATCTCAGGAAGTGATGATACCAACCTTCGTTTATGGAAAGCTAAAGCATCTGAGCAAATGGGAGTGGTATGTCTCTTTTGGTCTCCATTTCTTGTTTATCGATTTTAATCCAACTTTTCTTCTATAATTTTATTCGCATATTTGTAAGGAATTTATGTTCCATTGTACATTCAATGGAACATAAAGTTACCTACAGTCTAGGTAAATTAGTAGGTTCAATATCTTATACTGTCTTAAGGCTTAAATACAAGGAAACATCATGCGTCATCATTTTCTTCTTCATCAATATTGTCGTTGGCATTTATAATACAGCAGACGTTTTATACACGATTTATAGGGGGAAAGTTGTTGAACTTAGAATTTATCATTGATTTGCTCCGACTCTTTCAGCATTAACTTTTTATCTAGCACGATTTACATGCAAAAAATATACTTGTTGCAGCTTTTGCCCAGAGAACGTAGAAAGCATGAATATCACGTGGCTCTCAAGAATCGTTTCAAGCATCTTCCTGGAATCAAACGCATTGACAGGTAAGCCTGGACTATCAACAAACATTAAGAGTGTTGCAGTCACCCATGCTATCTGTGTTCTTTTTATGAATTCCACTGCTCACAAAGTGATCAAAACCCGTGTCTAAGCTCAAATAAGAAGAGTATAAAAAGACAAATGCAGAATTCTTGGCGTTAAATGAGTTGAATACAAAAACTCCTTCAAGGGAGATTGCTCACTTCATCACTTTGCTTTGAATTTGCAGACATCGTCACTTGCCCAAGGCAATATACAAGGCTTCTAATCTGAGACGGGAGATGACTGAATCAGAAAGGAAGAAGGAAGCTAGAAAGAGAGCTCACAGCAGACCAGGCAGCATGCCAAACGAGCCATTACGTAAGAAAAGAATCATTCAAGAAGTTGAATGAGTGGCTGCTTCATCCTCCCTTACACAGTATTCTTTCACTCCTACCCTCGGGATAAAACCCAGAACTGAACCCATCAAGAACATCTATTTTAGGGAGCTTAGAATCTATTTCGACAATCTTTGTTTTATAATTACATGTAAAGGAACCAACACTCCTGCTTTAGCTTTAGATCTTTTGGTCTGGTTAAGATGATTGGTTTAGATATAATATCAAACCAAACACAAACAGTTAACAATTTTGAACTCTTCCACCAATATTGTACTGGTATTTTATATCTTTTATAAAAAAATGCTATTTCATTCTTTTATCATCCACATCAGTGTTTTAGTAAAATTTAAATACGTAATTTTTTAATATAGAGTCATAATCTACTCAAGTTTTTTCTTATAATAAAGTAAGAATAAAATTTGCTTTTCGTCCCCAAACTATTACGGAGTGTATATTAATCACATTTGGTCTTTTGACTATTACAATTTTCTAATTAGGTACACATGTAATTTGTATTTTGTATTATATTTAATTATTTATTTAATGCAATGCTCCTTTCGAAAAAAAGCAAATGCAATGCTCGAAAAAAGCAAATGCAATGCTCCTTTCAGAAGGAGTACTTATGACAAAAGTTTTTTGAGAAATTGGACAACATAATCAAATATACAAATTACATAGTCATGCACTTAATTAGAAAAGAGTAAATACCCAAAATGGTCCCTCGACTATAGCTAAATTCACAAATTGGTCATCAACTTTCAATTTCACCCAATTAAGTCCTTGACTTTGCAATTTTGACACGATTTGGTCCTCCATCTAATTGACCGTTTGTTGACCGTGATCGACGATCTCCAGAAGAACCTTCAGCTCTCGTCGGAGCACGTGGAGGCCTCCAGGATGACGTTGCACCGGTTCAGAAACACGTCGTCTTCTTCGCTCTGGTACGAATTCAACTACATTGAATCCAAAGGGAGGATGAAGAAGGTTACCGGGTTCGGTAGATTGCTTTCGACAGTGGATTCAAATGTAACAGTGCGGTCTGGAAATACAACCGGAACCTTAAAAAACCGATGATGAACCATGAAATTACATATATATCCTCAAAAATCACAGTCAACAAACAGTCAAATAGACAGAGGACCAAATTGTGTTAAAACTACAAAGTTAAGGACTTAATTGGGTGAAATTGAAAGTTGAGGACCAATTTGTGAATTTAGCTATAGTCGAGGGACCATTTTGGGTATTTACTCATTAGAAAATTTTAAGTCAATGACTAAATGTGATTCGTGTATACTAGTCAAGTGACCAAAAGTGAAATTTTTTTATTAAGTAATTTGAAACAACTGCTAACCCTCTCCATATTCTACTTGCACCGCTCAGTTATCCACACGGCCACCGCCTCCGCGAAGCAAGTAAAGACGGCGTCTGATTTCTTCTCTACTCCTCTCCTTCGTCGCCGGTTACTGCTTCCTTAGCCATCTCCACCGCAGACGGTTTGCCTTCATCGTTTGCTCTCTCGGTTCCCACCCCGCCTCCACTACCGGTCGCTTCTCCCTCCTTTCCGTACTGCTACTTCCCTTTGCTTTGGTTTTGGTTTTTAGTTTTGGCTTGCAGTTTCTATGTTTCCCCTATTTCCCAGTCGTTTCCCTTTGCTTTGTTTTTGAATTTTTAATTTTGTCAACATATATGAGTATTTCCCTATTTCCCTTTGCTTTGTTTGCTGGATTTTAATTTGCTAGTTTCTTGGAATTTCTCTTCGTTGTTTTGATGAGTTTCTTCCTCTCGTTTAATTAACGAGTTCTTTTCTTATAAGTGTGAAATGATAAAATTGGTCATGGCGTATGTGAATCTCATCCTGTGCAAAGATGATGACAATATAAAGAAGAATGAAAATAGATATCCAAATGGTGTGCAAGACCTTTCAACCATTGTCGGTCTTGGGTACGTTTGACCAGATCATTTATGATATCAAAGAAACTTTAAGTTCCTCTAATGAATTTAATTTCAAATAGGTAAAACAATTTGCGAAATAAATTTTTTGTAGCATTACTAGGAAATTTGTTTCTATGTTTGAATGTAATGAATATTGATTTATTCCATTGATCTTCATTATAAACGTTTCAACTTATGATTAATAAATTAGTTCCTTTATTCTCCCAACTGAAAATATATAACCCGACCGGACCCAAGCAAGATCCATGTGAATTTACTTTTTCATTTTATTTTATCCACGGCTTAAACCCCAAAACCCTCCTCGTAGTTCGAGCTACTATACAAGTACGGCTGATTCGTGAAGCGAGCTTCCACTTGTTCGAATCACATAGAATGGCCACCGCCGCCGCTTCCGCCGCTGCCAGATCCTTTTTCCGGTCGTCCTCCGTTCTAAACTCCGTCAGCAGGGTGGCACATGAATCCAAAGCGGCGCGCGCCCCTTTCCGCATCGCTTCCAGAAGTCCTCTAGGTTCTCGCATCTTCAGGTACCGTATGCTTATCTGCGCTTCAACTCTGCCTATATCTGTTCCTATGTACGCATAAATGTTTTATGCATCTTTAATTGGATATAGATATGTGGATGCGACTTAGTAGTTACATTGGATTTGAAGGTGTCCGGTAGAGTTGAGCGCCTTTGGACACTCGATGCAGCCCTACCACACGGCCACTGCTTTGGCTTTAATGAACTCAATGCTTACCGTCTCTCCCCGCAGCTTCGGTTGGCTTTCGGAAGGTGAGCTTTCCCATGATAAATCCATAATTTTTTTTTCATGATTTTGTTTAAAAAAAAGTTGTTTCAACAATTTCCCCCTAATGTGGCTACATATTTGCTGAATTGGATGTGAAATGGTTGGTTATTTAGTTTGTAATGTAAGTGTTTCTTTCATTTGCATGATTAGAGTGCAGTTAGGGTTTCGATTTTTCTACTTTTGCATAGCATAGGTTTTCTTTTGTGCTTTTTACTCTTTAAAGTTACCATTTTTAACTCTTATGTGGTCATTTTGAATTTAGATATTCATAAAGTTTATGAGGATCATTGTAATTTGCTTGACCACTTAGAAAATTTCATGTGCTATATTTGTGTTTGGATCCGAGTGTGTGTATATCAGTTTCTGCAACTTTCTCCATCCCCAAAATATTGAAGCTTGTCTTTCTGTCCTGCTTCAATATTTATGTGTTTGGATCTGAGTTTGCTTCTCTTTCTATCCTGCTTAGTTCATTCCCCGTATCTGCGTACTTCTAACTAGCTTAGCTGACCAGTGGGTTTTCTTTATTAATTTGGGTATCTAACTCCTAAAGTCTCCTCCTTTTGTCCTCTAATACTTTGTTTTGCAAACATATTTTTCTTCTTAAGTTCATCGTACATCAGCCTTTGCAATTCTCTTTCCCCTTGTGCTAAAATTTAAGATTTGTCTTCTTGCCCTTGATTTTATATACTTCACTTGCTTCTTCTCTAGTAGGTTTTCTAATCAGGGGATTTTCGTTCTTGATTTAGGTATCTAGCAACACCTATAGGATACTCTTTTAAGAACTTGGTAAGTGAATTTTTTTGCAAGATTGCTTTCGAATCTTATTGTATAATGGAAATCTTGTCATTCCTGTGCCGTATAGCTCTCATGAATTTGGGCTCCCATTCTACATTGTAGAGATATAGGACCTTTTGAGTGTGTTCCATGAACTATCAGAAACACAGCTGAGTCGAACCAATAGTCAATAGAACTAAGTGCTGCCAAAACTGTTACTCATTTCTTTATTCTCATTCCTTGTTATAGCACTGACAATTTATTTTTTTAAAAATGTTGTCTAAAGCTTTCTATGTACTCCGTATAAGAAATTGCTACTTATATGCATTTGCTTGACATTTTCTAATTCAGTAATTAAGGTGATATATATGCAGCATAAATTGCCAGGATGCACATAGATTTTCTTTTAAGTTTCAATCTGCTAGATTTGCCTACTTTCAAGGCTCGTCTCGTTGATACTTTACTGATTTCTTTTATATATTGACCAGCCTGCATTGATGATGCATGACCTGTGTTGTGTCATTTGAGGGTTCAAGCAAGTTTCCTGTTCCTGTGGAGTATGCTGTCACTATGGTTACACAATCCAGATTCCACAATAAAATGGCAGCAAGATGTCCTCTCATCAAACCAAAATATTTTCCAAGTTTTGTCTGTTTCAAGACCTATGATCTTTTTACTTTAGTATTTAATTTAATGTATGATATATTCTCCTGAATTTTACCAAAAGAAATATAGTAAAACCAAGCTACACTTTTGCAGTCATGAAAATTTTCTACCATTTCACTTCTCAACTCCTGTTTATTGCCTTGTTACTTGTTACATGTTTGGTTATCCTGTCTAGTAACTTTTTTTTTTTTTTTTTTCACTTTTCTTCAATTTTTTTTTTGGATGTAGCTAAGGTTTCTACCGTCAAACACAGACACAATAACTAATCCCCTTGTTGAATTGTAAATAACTCTTTTGGATAGATATTAGTGAAGTTGGTGCCCTTGTTATTGATACTTAGCTGCACAAGTAACTTGATTAAAAATAATAATAATTCCATAGTTTGTGAACAATGCATCCTCATTTTGAACCAAATGAGATCCCTCTTGGGCAAGAACACAAGAGGAACAGAAAGTAAGTGAAACCCTGTAGGCAGGACATGAACTGAACCAAACCAGCACTACTAAGATTTACGGATGCAAAACAGGAAATTACTGAAATTCTTGTACATACTAGTACCATAGGAATGCAGCATATCAATAATTCATAAAGAAAACGAGAACTTGAAGCTTAGTCTCTCTGAGAAATATTCACCCCCATCCTGTGGGAACCCCTCCTCTTTACTCCTCCACATTCACCAATTCATACTCCACTAAAGAAAGATTGTTATCCTCTTTAACAACAAAACTAGCCGGTTCTGTAACCTCGACTCGTCCCCATTTGTCTACTGCCAAACGCATTGAACCCTTGAACATGTCTATCTTTGCATTGCGCAGAATTACTGTAGAGCCGGCAGTCATTGCATCAACTGCACTCAACAACAACAAAAAAAAAGATTAATGGGGACACTTGAACAGTGACAGAAATCCCATTAAATTAAGCATACATTGCATTCCATGTAAGATTAATCAAAATCATTGAAGAGATACAGGCCGGCAATTTAACCTCAGAAATCACCACCACAACAAATAACAGAGATTCAAGAGAATATGATTCCATAGCTTGGTAAAGAAAAGCTGCCTGCCAACTATTAGGTTCCCCATATGATATCATTTGGAACCACCAAAAGGTGGGACCCAACTCAGCTTACTAATCACTCCAGAGGACAGATGATTCTTTTTACTCACAAGTAACCCATGTGACAGCATAATAGCGCTAAACAGTAAACACATCTTATCACTTTCAGAGAACATGGCAATCGTAATTGCTAAGAAATGAAGCTATGCAAATGTAAAATGAATTCCACCATGACACTAAATAATCTATTGTTTTACAATAATGCATACCGAAACATTTTACAGAAGCAAAGAAACAGGAGCCATAGCAATTCAAGAAATCCAAAAATTGTGTAGAGCCACTACACAACAACCAAAATCATATGTTAAACAACAATACTTAAAGTAACATAGAAATGTCCACCTTCTCTCCAATTTGATAGCAATATCACAGACAAAACTTTGCTAAAAGAGTGAAAAAACAACCAAGGCAGTCTTATACTCAGGGTCTGCTACTCTGCTTAGTTTTTATCAATATTGAAACATGATAATCTTATGTACACAATTAAACCAAAACAAAATTGCATATTTAACATCAATACAGAGACTCACATATCCTCAAGTCTATATACATAGGCCTATATGAATATTTATACGCTCAAATAAAATTACATATCAAACATAGACAAGCTGAAATCTATACAAATTTATACCTTGATCGTTGCGGGCGGTGAAAATAATAGTCCCAGTCTCGTCACCAACAAGGCACTCGGCGATGCGAGCCGGGGCACGAGGGTTTAGCGACATCGACGCCCTGCCGCCGCGCCTGCCACCTCCGGCGGCGTTGCTTTTGACAGTGGTGGAACTGACAACCTTTACTGTAAGAGTGTGGCCGTTGGTCCCGGGCTTTAGACTGCTGACTTTGACGAACACCGGCTTCCTCTTCTCGATAGATCCCGCCGCCGCCGTAGCCATCTCGTTGACCCTAAAGCAATAATCTTAAACCCTAAATCCAAATTTTCCGAAGCAGAGCGAGCGCAGGCAGGGAAAGACTTGTGGGTGAACAGCGAGGAAGAAATGAATTTCTAGGGTTTTGGAGTGTTTTAAGGTTCGTGAATCGTGAGCGAGCGAGCGAGCGGTAAATAGTAAACGCCTCAAGGTTTTAATCTTTTCATTTTCCGACCCCTCATTTTTCTCTTTTTATCGTTTTATGTTGCAACAAATCCCCTTTTATTTCGCCATTACTCACTAAACTTTTGCTACTTCAACCTAACTTTCATGCATTTTCATTAATTATTCTATCTACATATGCTTACATATGTAACCTTCACAAAATTATGTTTATTTAATTTATGACAAAGTCTGTTATTAGTCCAGTTTTTGAACGCCCGCTTTGAGTGAAATTCATGGTGTAACATATATCTGTCAGACCAATTATTTTAAGAGTTCTATTCTCTCAATTTTGCTTCCTGATGTGGAGGGTGCTGATAAACTATTTTTTTTATGTGGGTCCAAGTACAAGTGTCTACATCAGAACTGTTTGTGTGAAAGTAAAAGTTGAGAGTATAAAGTGGAAGTACAGATATTGTTTTTCTTAGTTTAAAAATACAATGTTTGGAGTCAAAACATGACTATAAACTTCATTAAGATTTGGATAATTTGAAAAGAAAGGGATTAGGTCAAAATGAAGAATCCAATTCCAAACAAGATTCATGGATAGGATCAAAATGTGCTAAGGAATTTGCACATTGTACGTGTCTTGAAGATGAGGATTGGAGCATTTGAAACGTAAATGGAAACGAGGAGGATCGGAGGTAGGATAGGAAAGTGCAGTGGGCCATGAAATGTTAATGGATGATGACAATGGGTGCTTTTATTGTTGAAGTGTCATTGGGTCAGTGGCCCACAAAAGGTGCACAGAATTGCTTTTTGATCATCTATATGATGACATAAATCAATCGTTTACCATGGGTCGGGTCACAATGCACTCCGAATTCTGGTCCTAAACGATGTAATTTTAAATTTTAATTTTGACGGCGATTGTTTATCGTTTAAGACATATGTATGTGTCTCATTTTATGTGTTTTTGTGTTTTATGTTATGCAATTCTATACTTTAACGGGGCGTTTGGTTGGAAAGAAGGAATTAGAGTGGAAATGAATTGTAATTCGGTGGGAAAAGAATAAGGTGGGAGTAAAATATGAATTCAAATTACGTTGTTAGGTAAGGAGAAATAGAATTATTGGAATTGAGAAGGAAATAAGTAATATAAAAACTAAAATACCCTTGTGTAATAATAATAGTAATAACAACCAAGGGTAGTAATGCCATTTAATATGTTTTTACTTTCTCAAATTCATTGAATTGCAATTCATGGGGGGTACCCCATGAATTACAATTCAACAAAATGAGGGAATTGCAATTCCCTCCAACCAAACAATGTAATTGAGGCATCCACTGAATTGCAATTCAACTACAACTAAATTATAGTGAATCAAACGCCTTGAATGTATGGATTCTGTACCTGTAATGAAGTAAATATAACATGTACTTTCATGTGTTATGCTATGCGTTTTTGTGTCTTAGGGCGTTTTCGATAGTGTGATTTTGAGGAGGTTTTACATATGTGATTAGGAAAGGGAAAATGAGAAGAGAGGAGAAAAAAAACAAAATCATAAAATAAAAACAAAAAGTACTATGTATCGCGCCCGCTGGGCACACTACTTTTCTTCAATGCACAGAATCAGCGCGGCTAATAATAAAGTTGTTGGGACCCACTTGATTGACAAAATCCCCATTTTACTGCAAGGTACTCAAACTTGCTCTCACCTTGCCCTCTCTCCTCCACCTCACCATTATTCTTCAAAATCTGGTCCTAAAACATCTAATGGGGATGCTCTTATGTTATGCAATTATGTACATGAAGAATATTGATTCTACCTGCGTGTGTCTTGTGTTATGCGTTTCTGTGTCTAATGTTATGCAATTCTGTACCTGAAATAGATTAGTAGTTGTGTAACACACAATATATTGTGTCGTATTTTACGAATTTTTGTCTTGGATTATAAAATTATGTGTCTATAGAACATATATTATCTACATAATTAAGAGTACGTAGTGATTCTGTACCTAAAATAAATTAAAATTTGTCTTGAAAAATGAAAAAAAAAAATTACAAAATTTGTTAAAGCTTAAATATCAAAACGATGTCATTTTGATCAAGGGTCCACGATATAAATTAGATTGCGGGAAAAAAAAAATTGAGACTATGTTACATAAAGATATAGAGATGGTAGTGAGTGAATAAGATATGTTAGTTATCACTCAAACACTAGTGATTAGGAGCTTTTTTGGTTAAGCTAAGGGCAGTTGGACAACATCGATCATTAGTTAAATATGAAGTAGGATTTGATCTAAGATACAAACTAAAAGAATAATGTTAACGAAGACGCGTAGAATATAGAAAATGGTGACAATTGTCCCTTTCAAAACTAAATTTGAGAATCCTTAGCTTACTTTTTCTTTTCTTGTGTAGGAAAAAGACACAAGCTAGATTGGTAGAGAATTATGTCATGATCCATAGATGTCTAATGCACGTGACAGCCAATTTCAATAATACACATACATAATTGTAAAATTGATCACACAAATAATATAAGACAATATAACATTTAGTCATACCCAATAACAATAATCGAGCACCACTATTGAAAATCTCGTGATTTTCAAACAACAAAAATTAAACAATAATAGACCCTTAGCTTTTTACACAAAAATCAATATTTCGACCAACATACCGACTAAAATCGAGATTCAAATAAAACTCACCATCAAAATTACTGACCAACAACCAATATTGGACCATTTGGACGGAGATAATGTCCAACACCTCATTTGTGGATGAAAAACCGTGATGAGAAACCCACCATTTTGATATCTTGTTATTTCGTCCAATTCTACTTAGCTTGTTGGTTAGATTCTTACCAATTTTTTTCTTTTTTTTTTTTTTAAATGTTGGTAAGAAATTCCGTCGTACTGTTAGACAAAATAATCCATTCTTGTATTCTGTGATCTT